CAGGAGAATCGCAGGAGGGGGAGGTTCAGAATAGAACCATACCAACACCCCATGCCACGACACACACAAGATCAAAATTACCCACAAAGATGGCGAGGTAACAATCCAGGAAAAATTTGGCACCCAAATGGGAGAAATACTGGGCTAAAAATGTACGAGAAACGCAGGAGGGAGAGGTTCAGAGCAGAACCATATCAACACCCCATCCCACGACACACGCAAGGTTCAAATTACGCACAGAGATGGCAAGATAACCACCTAGCGGGAAGGTGTTACACAGACCGCGGAGGTATGGATGCGAACATTCAGGAGAATCGCAGGATGGGAGGTCAAACACAATCGATCCAATTCCGACCAATTCCTCCACCGGCTATACCAAGAGGGAATAGAGGAATAACACAGAATGCGGTCCAAATACGTGATGAACCATCCACAGTGAGTGCGAGCGAGCGGCCAACACGCGCCCCACCCGCCGAGGTGTTAAACCCTGAGCAGGCTGCAAGTGACAGGGCTGAATTGAAGTGTGATCGGACGGTGGATAGCAGACAGCAGAGACAAAGAGAGAACACAGAGACACGCCCTGAGGAGCGCAGGCGTGAGCCTTTGAATGGAAAATATCCAAAGGAAACCAAAATGTATGTGGATCGGAGTGCTAAAATGGAGACGAATGTTCATGACATATCAGGAATGGTGTTGGAATCTAACACACTCGTAAAAACAAAGAGGGCAACATTACGAGGCACAGAATTAAGTCGACACACTGACTCGGCAAATGTGCATGTAATCGCAGAGAGAGCGAATGCCACGAACCAAGTGTCAAAATGGGTCGTGTGCGCGAATTCTGGTTACGTGCAGCACAATTTTTCACCACACACTCCCACGACGCGAGAGAGTGAGAGAGGAAACTACAAAAACGAACCCGAAAACCGTGATCAAATTATCAAAGTGATAAGTGGTAAACCAGGCAACATGAGGAAGGTAACGCATAAATGCGTTCGAAACCGCTACCTAGCGTTTCCCAGGATTTAACAAAAACAAAAATGAATGTTCGTCAGAGTTATGATGTATGAGAACCGATGTAACGCAATATCGATGTTAACGTGTGTTATTTTCTTTGCTTAATTCAAATGTAACCAGGATTTAACAAAAACAAAAATGAATGTTCGTCAGAGTTATGATGTATGAGAACCGATGTAACGCAATATCGATGTTAACGTGTTGTTATTTTCTTTGCTTATTTCAGATGTAACCAGGTTAAGATCGTAATACGTGCACGCGCGTCGTAAGAAATAACCGCCGAGAGTAAGGGCGGCTGATGGGATGCATGACATAAAAAGGGGGCATTACTTTGTTTGAAAATTCGCCAGTGGCCAAATCGACCCCTGATAATTTTCAAAAGGGCGGACTGTTGTGTATGTACCCCCTTTTTATTTTTTTTTAATATTATTTTTTTTTTAAGAATTATTCTGCCAACATAGATAATATCGTTTTTTTTTTAATAGACGCGGCCACGTGGGAACGAACACGCCCCCACACTTCCACAGAGGCCCCCACACTTCCACAGATGCGCGCATACCTCATTTCAAAGGAGAGAGGACATGAAAGGGGGGGCAATAAGGTAATAAAAAAAAAACTCCCCTAAATTCACACAAGAGGAACAAGGGAGGGGGGGAATTGCAGGCGGGGGGTTGCATAACCAGGAGACACGGAGGAAGAGATAATTATATTCTTAACAAAGAAACAGCATCGACGACAAAAAGCACAGATGGGTCTTTGAACCATGTTAAATACACAAGTTACCAACTTAACCATAAAGATTAAGCAAACAGTATCCATCCTCACTCCAATTGAAAACCAGACGACAAAATTGCACCAGAATCGCGACCCATCATTGTTAATTAAGTACTGACATTATTTACCTTTAAAGAATATCTACACGGCCGGGCCGAAGCATCAAAGAATAATTATGGCATCTATTTCGCTCCAAAACAAAATTCCTAGCCGGGATATCAGATTAAATAATCACAAGAAGTCAAATAATAAGTACGGAATTAAAGTAGAAGAGGAATCAAGGGCGGAGAAGGCTCTCAAAATTAACCAAACACAACAACCCATGGGAAGCGAGCAACACGGCCGCCTTTGTCTTTCCGAGAGGATCTCCACACGCAGGCACAAAGCTAGGAAATGACACCCATAAAGGGGGCAATGGCTCAAAGGAAATTAACACGTCTTCGAATAAATAAGCGCATGCGCCGGGTGCTCCCACCGTGGAAACAACCGCCTTTGTCTCCCCACAACACGGACAAACACGCACGCGAAACACACGGACGGACACACACACGGACGCAGATGGTCCACCCCCACAGGAAGGTTTTATGACACAGCTTTTGAACAACTCGGGAAGCCGAGTGGAATTTTCCGATATAAACCGAAGGAAAATCCATACAACTCAGATCGACAGGGGCTCTGGCCTCCATCACAGAGATCGTCCGGGCCACGAGCTCCACCAGAGATCATCCGGGCCACGAGCCCATCTTCGGCTCCACCACAGATCGTCAAGAAGTTTTCATCATTGAGAATGACGAGGGTCGCGGAGTAGCGACGCGTAGCTACAAGCCGAGGTCTGCACCACCTGAGAAGAATCGCTACCCTGAGTCGCAGAGCTGCGAGTGAAGCCAACAAAGACGCCAACGTCCACCCTGCCACGAACGAAGCATCGCTCCTCGTCAGAGTGACGACCAGCGAACAACCCGCAGGAAAGGCGGAGATCGCTGAACGAGCGCCAACTTGCGCCACCTTGCGCCACCGTGCGCCACCGTGCACCACTTTGCGCTGAACGTGCGCCACCGTGCGCCACCGTGCGACACCGAGCGACAACGAGCGACACCCAGATCGACCAGCATCAACCCAAACCGACTCGTCATCCCGCCGTGGAGAAAAAGAGTCAAAGTCTTCTGAACGAGCGCCGCCGCTCACCTCACAGCGGAGAAAGTCTCAGCTGCCGCTCGCACAAACAACAGAGGTCGTATCGCTCCCCACATACAGACTCAAGAAAACACAGAGAAATCTTGTCAAACCAGTTTCCTTTGTCCCAGAATCTCGCCGAAGAGTTAATTAAAACAGAGCCAGATTCGCTCTCGCGCCCACACGCCCTCACCCACCATTGTATCAAACCTTCCGTTAAAAAGGATTTTAGACTTGCCGATGAATCTATTGACATATACTTTCGCCTCTGGGATACAATAAGTGCTTTTTATTACCGCCATATGAAGTGTGTCATGCTTGTTTTCAAACTCGACCAGTCGCCGATTGTGATCAATACATGGGCGAACTAATGATGCCTGGTAGGAAAAGTAGAGGGTACAATTGATAGAAGTGTTTTTAGTCATTCAGTTCGTTAAATGCATAAGTGTTTATTCATTCATTTTAGTCAAATGCATAAGAGTTTGGTTATTCATATTAGTTAGTGCATAATATCGCAAATGCATAAGAATTTTAGTTATTCAATTTAGCTAAATACATAGTCTCGCAAATGCATAAGTGTTTATTCATTCATTTTAGTCAAATGCATAATCTCGTAATTGCATAAGAGTTTTGGTTATTCATATTAGTTAATGCATAATATCGCAAATGCATAAGAATTTTTAGTTATTCAATTTAGCTAAATGCATAAGTGTTTATTCATTCATTTTAGTCAAAGGCATAAGAGTTTTCGTTATTCATATTGCATAATTGCATAATGTCACAACTGCATAAGTTTTTGTCGTTCATATTAGTTAATTGCATAATCTTGCCCATGAATTATTGACGCATGTTTGACCTGCATGATAGAATGTCACGTGCTTGTTAGAATAAAATTGTAATCCAGAAGCATATCGAGTGTTCCTTCCAAGTCCATGCAAAACCATCTTATTCATAAGAGCTGTATCCTGCGATGAGATATGAAAATGGAGACCTAAAATATTATAACACACACTAGGATAATCGGTAAATGAATCTATGATAATCGTGTTATCCTGATTGATAACTCTGGATAAACGAAACTAAGCAAATTATCATAACTGCACACATTAACACAATCGCAAGCCTCCGCATAAATTACTACGATTATCATAATTTATGCATATAATCACACGTATTATCATAATTTATGCATATTAATACACACACTATCATAATTAATGCGATTTGCGCATTTTTCGGAAAATTATTAATTTTTTTTTATTTTTATCAAATTTCATAATTCCAACACATACAACACTGCACTGATACCCCTGCATTTGTGGGGGGTGGGGGGAATGTCCATGCCGCAATGCATCCTACAGCAAAGCAGAGGAGTGAAAGTGGTCCCTCGTGTCTCCCAGGCCGAGTCTAGTAGCTGCCATCACAATGCGCGTGTGCGCGGCATCAATATTTATGATCAACATTCACATTCGGCTCTGCGAAACTCACTCTGCGTGCAAAACTCAGTCTCTTTTCACACACACGCGCACACACACACGCGCGCACACACACACGGATAGCAGTGACCGGCGGGAGATTCATACAAATTATGGAATGTTCTTTTTGTGTCGCATAATGTACAAGTGTTTGGACACGTGTTCACAACACATTACGTCTCATCCGGGGTGTATGTGTGTGTGGGGGGCACAGTGGCCTGTCACAGCTGCTGTTTTAGTACGGGTACTCAGTGCTCTCCATCCGATCCCATCATATAAGAAAAACCATGCACACGTAACCAACCTTCATGAAAAGATCCCTATTCGAATCATAAATTTCCCTTAATTGCAACAATTTTTATGTCAATCCGGGGAAGATTGAGTATGACATTTATAAACAACTGGCCTTGCGCACATCAATTTTTACCGGTTAATTTCTCGGTCGAGCCAGTAATCGATTGATTAATATATTCACAGAGTCATTGATTCGCACGCTCTCTTGCTTAATAGAGCACACGGGGATCGAGCGGGGGGGGGGGCAGGTTGGCTGGTGGATCTCACCCTGAGCTTGCGTCCAAGCACCGCGACCTGCCCGTGGCTCTGCTCTTTACGCAGACGCCACTCGGCGCTGCTGGAGCCGCCGTCGGCAGGGAGGCTGAGGTTGCGCCGGCTGGCGGTGGGGCTGCTGGTGCCGGCGAGGACGTGCGGCTCCATCTGCAGCCCGAGCTCCAGCCCGTCGGGGTAGAGCATGCGCAGCGAGCCGTCGTAGCCCATCACGTAGCGCGTGTTCATCGTGCCTGCGGGAGTCCGTGCAGAAGAAGCGGAGCGTGAGTCCGGCTCAGGAGTAGTGCGGCACAGCGTCACGTTGAGGCGCAGTGTCCTTCACTAACTTTCCGAGGGGGGCGAGTCACTTTCGGCGATAAGACATCATCAGCGTGAGGGCCACCACACCACCTGCAAGTGCTTTTCTCACATTTGTGTGTATTGTTAGGGGACGCACTAAAGGCCACTGTTCTTGTACAATGCACAGCACGGACAGGGGTACACAGATACAGACAGGTAGACAGATATTGACAGGCAGAAGGGCAGACAGACAGGTTTATGTTTAATCTAGGATTGAAGCTTTCGTGACTGCAGAAATTATACTCATTGTTTTTGTCGGCAAAGTCACGTATGTATAAAAATAATAATAAATTAAATTAAAATAAATCACGACGTTTCGAACGCAACACAAGCGCTCATCGTCAGGTGCAAATGAGGTGAAACATATAGGGAAGGAACACACAGGAGGACACCATGTGCATAGCACGCAGATTTGTTTTAATTTAAATTAATTTATTTACATTTTTTATTTTATTTCCACATACGTGACTTTACCGAAAAAAACAATGAGTAGGTGTATGTTTGTTGAACTTCTTTCGCACTGTACGTAGCCAACCGTGCTAATCGGGGGTACGGAATAGCAGATACAGGTGGACGGAATAGCAAAAACAGACATAAACAGTGACACACAAGCAGAGATAAAAGCCAGCATGGACAGATACAGATAGACTGGTAGAATGGCGGACAGAAAAAAAGCCAGACAGACAGATAGGCATACAGACAGGCATTTACAGATAGACCAATAGATGCAAAAAGACAGACGCAGGGTGATAGTCAGGCTGGCAAACAGATCTGCATATATACAGATAGGCAGGCCGAAGGCCAGCCAGACATATGCAGACAAGCAGTAGGACAGACAGACAGACAGGAGATAGGTAGGCAGAGAGCCAGATACGTTTTATTAAGCCAGATGAGAACGCATTGATACACAAGATGGATATTTTATACGGGAAATATGGATAAAAAAAGTTTTAAGTACATGGAAGGATATTGTGTAAAATAAATTAAATAAAAACACGAATGCGTAACAAAGCGACAACGAGAGGAAACTAAAGAATTCAAAGCATGTTTCTACTACGTATGATGTAAAGGGCTCGAGTGGGTGTAGTTCATTAAAGTATTTTCTGCCAACAAAGTCACCATTGAAGCGATGCAGAGTCACCAGAAAAAGAAAAAAACCGCCCAATCAATGGCGTTAAGCGCCAATGCGTGAGACGTCACCGCTTAACCCGTGCATCTCATCGGCGAGGCAGCATTAATGACTTCTGTGGTGAGCACGCTGCAACCTGCACAATTGTCGCAACGTATTGTACCGAATAACTTTTTTTGTCACGATGCCGATGTTTCACTAATGCCAGTTTATAAAATCGCGCACTACAGATAACTCCCACCCACTGAGGAGTAGAAATGCATGCGCTCGTAAAAAGAAAAAATCTGATATTGATGGGCGATCTTAAATTAACGGTGAATCCATAAAAGCGGAGGTAAAAGTCTAATGAGACGTAATGGGCTACACCGCTCCAAAGGAATGCATTCGCAAATTCTGACTACAAAGTCAAAGGAAGAGAGAGCGGTGGTGCAGGGTGTAACTTCGTGGCACTATAAACCAGGCTACCTGAGTTTGACTCCCTGCTATGGCTGACATTAGTGGGGAGTGAGATCTTAAATAGTGCTAGGTACTCCCATCATGAACCCTCACTGACTGAGCGTGGTAAAATAAAAACAAGCTGACAATACATCGCCTTCATAGATCCATCTCTCCAAATCCCTTTGCTATGTCTCGTGGTAAGAGTATGGTCAGACAACGTCCATTACCGACACAGCATGGAGATGTCTTCATTTCAGCAAGAGATTATGTTCTCATATAAGCAACACATCCATACATTATGCTGGTGGAGAATGCCAAATGCAACTTCTGATACAGGCACACATCGAATATGAACACACCTGGAATTGCTTCCACATGGCCAGCTTCTATGTGTTATCATTTTAATTTGTACAAAGTCAATGAAACACCCACAGACCAGAGAATGCCAAGTGTCAACTCCCTTTTGGATTTTATCCCGAGAACACAATCTCTAATGTAATTGGGAATGTTGTCACTATGATTAAGTTATTGGGCTCATCAGTGCTTACACTGCACATTTTCATCTAGGCCATAGCTTGGCAAGACAAATGGGCATGGACTGTGCCAATGTACTGAGACTTAGCAAAAAATAAAAGCCCATAAGAATCTAAATCTACTTTTGGAACCCCGACTTAGAGCAAGATTTTAAAGGCAGTAAAATATTTTCTAGCAGAGGTGGAAAACACAAAGGGAGCATTGCAAGTGTTACTACACACTGTATGCGTTTGGTGAACAACTGCCCAATCAGTAATATTTTGCCAGTTGATTAAAAAAATGGGGAGGGGGGGAGGATAAGGTCCATTGGACAGGCTGGAGTGCATCACAGTGGAATACCACAGCCAACGGCTGACCAGATGCGAGATCGCTTGCTGAGCAAAGCCTTTCTCTTCCAACGCCCTGCGCTCCCGGCGCCAATCGTATTAATGTGAAAGTGTGAAGAGGAGATATCGAGGGAAAATTAATTCAGGCCATACCCTGCAACCTGCTGTTTTGACATCCACCGGCTCGCTGCGGCGCGAGGCGGCTCGGCAAGGGGAAAACTTTACCGGGTGATGGCTCAGTGAGAAGAAAAAAAAAGGAAAATATGTTTTTCTGAGTTTATTTTTTTTCTAAACCGCGGGGAATTTGACTTCAAGGATTTCTGCGGTGCATTGAGGGAAAGTAGAGAAAGAGTGTTGATGAGCACGGTCTGCAGTTTTACAGAGTTCACTTGTGTCAAATTATATCTGTTTTGCATTCTCCATTGATGAACCTGAACGTTGAAGGGGAATAGTCGAGAGCAGAGAACAGTGGGCATGGGCCCTCAAGCTCACCACGGCAATGTGCTGCTGTGAGCTTTAATGGGAAAAAATATACCTCAACGAGTGAAATAAAATATGACTACGTTGCTACCACCTCGGAGTACTGCTTAGGGAAGTCTTACGGTTTTGTGGTCTCCTTTATGATAATTGGGGCCTATACGTGCACATATTTGCAGCTGCTCCAGTAACCACAGACAATTTTAATAATGGGTAAAAAAATATATAACCAACTGTCGGTTAATCTGCCACTTTATGTCACCTAAGCCATCCCGCCACGGACAGGCTTCGTCGCAGCAGCAAGTTTGCACTGAGAAGCAGGATCACAGCCACTGTGAGTGGCGCCACGGTGGCGAGTTGTCAACTCCCTCGCCTGGTATACAGGAGGTTCGTGGGTTCGATCCCGACCCTGACGCCTGCTGCTGTATATTTGGAGTTTGCAAGTTCCCCCCCATGGATTTTTCCCCGGGTCCTCCGGTTTTTCCCTCCACATTTAGAAACATGCGTTTTAGAGTATTTGGCTGCTATATATTTCCACATGATAAGCCACTTCGTTGAGCTATCATTTGTGGCCAGGTCGCTTCTGAAAAATAACTATGTAAGCTCAGTGGGCCTTGCACCTGGTAAAATATAAAATAGTTTAGTTTAAGATTATTTTAGAGTATTGTGGGATCCAGGCACCGACAATTGTTCAGACATGGCTAAGGGACATCCGCAACACCTGGAATTTTTGGAGTAATTATTTTAAAGTTAGTGTTTTTCTCCGTTCAGCAAGGTGACATAAACTCTGATTACGCTGACGATGGAACAATTAAGCACGCAATGGCGCACAGTCGGCTCAGTACTGTGCTAGTAGCCAGCAGCAGAAGGCGCAGATTTACTACAATAATTACGCAAGGGATGCAGAAGGGCAAACGACAAAAGTTCAACGCTTTCATCAATAGCACTGCCTATTATGTTTTGAATTTTAAATATAAATAACAGTGATGAAGTGGTGGTGGGCACACTTTTATGTATGTTGAACTTCTTTCGCACTGTACGTAGGCAACCGTGCTAATTGGAGGTGCGGGAGAAGGACAATGATATAAACACCAAAAGCAGTTCTAAAGAAATTAGTTTTCAATCTTGGTTTCAAAGTGCTATAGCTCCAGTGGCTTCCTAACATCGGAAGGCAGAGCGTTCCAGACGGCCACAGAAGCGCATCTGACGGCGCGCGATGTGGTGAACGTCTTTGTTCGATGGCTGACAAAAAAACTGCTGCTTCTGCCGCGAGGATGACCGGAGTTCGTGTGATGATGGTGTATGCTCTTTGATGACTTCACAGATCCCATCTGTGGTCTACCCCAGGGGTCACTAACCCCCGGGCCACACAACAGGAGGTGAGCGGTGAGTCCGCGCGTGGCCCGCCCATTGTTTTATTTACCACTTGCATCCGCGCTTCTTTCCCGCACTGCACACTTGTCTCAGTCACAGTTTTGGTAAGCCCACAAGCTAACCCCAAGCCAAAATGAGTAAAAAACAAACGTCGCTGGAGAGCTTCTTTGAAAAGCAGGAAATACCCAATGATGAACCCCAACCCCCCCCCCCCCCCCCCCCGGTCCGTGAAAACATTGTCTTCCACGAAACCGGTCCCTGGTGCCAAAAAGGTTGGGGCCCGCTGGCTACTCTACCAAACAACCACCGGGAAGCAATTGCTAGCAGGACACCCCGAATCGGTAACCGGGTGGCCGTGCCCCCTACTGGGCAGGGCAATGCGGCCGGAGCGCGCCGGTGCGTGCGTGCGTTGTCACCGCGGTCAAGGCTGTAGACGATGTCGACGCGCGACAGGTTCGTGGTGAGGGTGAGGTCCTCGTCGGCCCCCGAGGAGTCCACGTGGACGCGGTGCCACGAGCCGCCCGCCTCGGCCCGCAGGCTGCTCACCACGCCGGTCGGCGACGTCACGTTGGTTAGGCGTCCCGTGCTGTCGTAGCTGTGGGCGGTGCGCGACAGAGACAAGGTGGACGGAGCTTGGTTAGCGAGGTTTGCGTGGCAGCTGTGTGAGCGGCAGGGGGGGGGGTGGCTAAAAAGCCAGCAAGCCTTAGGCCCCTGAATGTAATTTACTGGCTTTTATTCATGTTTGAATGTATGTATGTTGAGCTCCTTTCCCACCGTACGTAGCCAACCGTGCTAATTGGAGGTGCAGTGGGAAGGATAACAAACTTAACACAAAAATCAGTTCTGAAGAAAATAGTTTTCAATCTAGATTTTAAAATGCATTTCTCGTAGTGGCTTCCTAATATCGGAAGGAAGAGCATTCCAGACGGCCGCAGAAGCGCATCTGAAAGCGCGCGATGCGGTGACCGTCTTTGTTCGATGGCCAGCCAAGGATGACCGCCGATACAGCAAAACCTCCCACAGCCGGTCTCTGTGTGGGAGTGCAAGGCCACGACTCGCAGAGCGTGTGGTGGTGCCGGGTGCGAACGGTGAACCTGCGCCCTCGCGTGTCAATCTACCACGTGCTCTGCTCGTAGTCACCTCGTGCTCGCTCTCTTGGTTTTTTCATGAAGAAAACGTCAACGCAAATATACATTTCGTTTACTGGAAAAAAATATTTCATTAACTCAAAACAAAAATTCCATTCTCTCTCCCCCCTCCTCTTTTCCGAACTGCCAAATCGCTGTCCGTGGTGCTGACGTTAAGGAAAAAAAAACGCCACTTTTTTCAAACTTTATTGCTGTGGATTTCACACCTGATGATGATTGCTTGTGTTGCAGTCGAAACGTCGTGAAAATTTTATTGTTTTATATTTATATTATTTTATTATTATTTCCCTTCTACGTGACTTTACCGAAAGAACCAAGAATATGAATCCCTACAGTCGCGAAAGCTTTAAATCAAAATTCAAAACAAAAAGTTTTGCGTGCTGCCCATATGAAAATACATTTACCCGCTGAGATGGGTTATGTTGTGGCGCAGTTATGCAGTTGCAGCGATGATAACAAATAAACAGACACGAGTTTATTTTGCCATCGAAAAATAATATTAAATAACATTTATCTGTCTGTGAACCTTTTTGGCTAAATGTATTTCAGTAACATTTAGCAAGGCAGAGAAGCCACTAGACCGGTTATGATTATTTAAATTCAGTCTTATTCATGTTAAATGAAACCAGATTTCCAGGAAAAAAAACATTGCATACAAGAGAATAACACTCAAAGCTCTACACAGATAGCTTTGAAAATCCATTGCAGTAGCATTGCAAACCTGGTCACCTTGCAGCCTATAATCACATCAGGCATATTCACATAGCTAGCCAATTGCAATTCTCTATATGAACCAGACACGGCGATCTCATGCTCATTGTTAGCAGCAGAGTGAAAACAGCATCCGAAACATCAATATGAATTTGTAACAAAAGCCGACTCCCGTCCTGGAGCTTCGGCAGGCATGAGATAGCGGCAATGGACAAAACATTGTCCTAGGCAGGCCGTGCACAGGTGACGTGCGTTGGGGAGCCATTACTCTGGGTAACACCACACCGTGAGATATTCTTGGTTCTTTCGGTAAAGTCACGTAGATAGAAAATATAAAAACAAATAATAAAATAAAATGTTAAAATATAATAAAAATAATAGAAGCAAACAACCCACGACGGTCTTCATTAGACGGAGAGAAAAGAGGAAAAAAAGAGAATAGGAATTCCTGCAGTCACGAAAGTTTCAAGTCAAAATTTTCCACCGTGAGAGATAAAATATGAGGAGTGTGCAAAGCCACAACAGAAGATGTGAGGTGTGGAGCCGCGACAATAAAGGTAATATAACGTGTACGTGGTTCAGCGACCTGCTCCTGAGTGAAGATGAAACGAGGTGTTGATGCCTTTACACCGATGCGCACGTTCGTGTAACACGCGAGAGGTGAGCACATCCGCAAAGGTTTTGAAAGAGATCGTGATAATGTATTTATGGGGAGGAAAAGGATGAGTATGGAGCCTTTCGGAACTATAACATTCATTATATTTTAATTAGAGGAACATGAATAATATAAGTTATGAACTTTACATTCTGAGTATTTTTTTCCCTTTAAAAGCAGACATTGCTTATATGTGTGGATGTTGAACATAAGACCATTACTGCAATGCGGCATTAAAATGGTTCCAGACTGTTTTATTTACTTAGTGTGGTCATGGTGATACAACTAATTTATAATTTACAGCTCTTATCAATCCTTTTCTGTAAGAAGGCCACCCACCCTACACCGTGTCAGTCATGGGGGCTCTTTGACCATACTTCACTCCGCTGGTGAATGAGAACTGGCTCGAACAAAATCACTCACCACCAATTTTAGCCATGGCCGGGAATCTAACTCGGGTGACCGGGGTTCACAGTGCAGTACACTAACCACTCACCCATTGCTCCATCCAGGGAATGGTAATACAATGGTAATGATGATAATAAAACAATTTGTATGCAGATCAGGCCTGAACTCCTTCAAGTGAAGCGGAAGACGAGTGATTGGATAAAACACAGGCGCGGCGCTGTACTATGGTAAGATGTGGCGTGAGAAATTGTCAAAAAATAGTGGAGTCATTCAACGATGCTCGCAACGCAGATGCGCAAAGACACTGCAAAGAGACTGCACTATCCAGAAATTCTAGTTTTTATAGAATATGATTAACGTTTAATAATAATACTAACTTAATGGAATTCCTGCATGCGTCTCTTAATGCACAAAGGCAGAAACTATCCCTCGATGCTCTCCATTCACTACCTTGTCAAAAATTTGAACCAATGCAGGCTTTTTGTTACGCATAAAAAATATATATGAAGGTTGGGCAAATTATGTCCGTGAATCAATTACATGCATGATGCACTCGATACAAAGCTTCAAAAGGGGAGAGAGAGAAAAAAAACTACTTTGAAGATTTCATTTCAAGGATTATATTTCATGCCTGTTTCTTGAAATTGAAAAACCTTTCATAGATTTGTCCCGTAAAAGGGGCGGTGAACTTTATCAACAAACATCAACGCTGTCAGTGTAATGGTCATTTTGTGACATTGATTTGACAAGCGGCAGACGCCGCCTCGTGATCACCTTCACATCCTTTGTTTAAAATGCCACTAGTAATTGGGAGCTTGTGAAAGGAAAGTATTTCTGTCGCCGGATCTTGCCAGATAAAACAAAACTGACAGAACGGTTTCGTTTGGCACACCCTGCCAACATGCTGAAAAGGAGGCCCTGTCACGGAATGCCTGGGCCGTCTCGTGCACATGAATGTGTGCGCTTTTCTCTTTGCGTATGACTATGGCATTTTGATTTCACCAGTATCATTCCTAAATGCAGATGTTGACAATCGATTGCTGAGTGGGTGACGTCTGGAAAACGACTAGTTAGGCTCGAACCAAATGTGAAAACACACATCAAACTGGCTTGCAGTGCGCAGTGTGTGTACACAACTATTCACACCACACATACCACTACTCATACAACACAAACTCCTGGTGTACACCACAGTGTATTCCAGATTTTCAGATTAATCCAAAAAAATACTAAAACTGGACCAAGATATGAAATGTATGATGATCTGATTTGTTGTTTTGTCAGCATGAATACTTTGTTTGCTGTAAATGAGCTGAAAATTTGAAGAATTTTTTTTTATCTGAAATTGCATTTGCTAATTTTCTGTGTCTATTTACATATGAATGTTTTTCTAAATCTTAATTTTGTAATTCTATTTATGATCAGTATAATTTTTTGTCCCAAGCTGACTTACCCTACAGGAAATGCATTATGTAATATTGATTTACGCTCGTGAAAAGATATTTATGTTAATTTTTCATTTTACGCAGTTAATTTTGTTTCCGATTTATATTTGCTTAATTGCCGATACTCTATTTAATCGGTTGTGCTTTTGTCCTTCTGGTCACCTCGGCCACTCTTGCAAACGAGACTCCTCGATCGTGCTCTCTTGAATTCTCACCTGGTACAAAATAAACGTGCAACTTGACTTTTAAATCCATAAGAGAGTTTTTTTTTTGGGATCTAAACCCAAAAAAACACTATTATGAATAGTATTTGTCGCGAACACCTATTTGTTAAACTGACTCTGAAAGTCTTAAATTGAAGAAAAATCAACGTATTATAAAACAATAACAATCGCAGTGTATGCCTTTGTGCTGGGAATTGCAACTCCTGTATTGGTATGCACAGCAGTGCATATATATTTAAATGAGCCCTTCTCATATTCAATAAATTAAGGAGTTCTTTCACCAACGTTAAACCAAAGGCCACATTTTATATTGACCCTGAAAAATAAAATGAAAGTTGGTTAACGTTTCGGTTAATGAGGTGATTTCGTCAGGAATACTTAAATTAGTTGGGGGTGGGGGGGGCGAATGCTATTTTGATACATTTGGCAACAGAGGCCACACAAGTGTTAAGTGTCTTTATTATAGCACTAGCGGTAAGTACCCGGCGTTGCCCGGGGGAAAATATATTTAAAAACTTCTCTTAAAAACATATACATACACAAATACTAAGCTATTGCAAAAGCCCGGCATGCCGTTTGTCTGTCCATTTGTCCATCAACAAAATTATGAGGCTTGCAGAACTCCAAAAATGTATAGAAAGTGGGGGGTAAATAGTTGATCTAAAAGATTTTCGAAAATTGTCCCCGCATAGGCATATATACCTACATACCGTACATACAATAGAGTGAGTAGTATCTAGTGACTCTATGCTAGTATTTTACTCTACAGTAGGATCTGGCTCTACAGTAGTATCTATTGAGCCCAGTAGTAGCTACTGACTGTATAGTAATAACTACTGACTCTAGTAGTAACTACTGACCGAAGTAGTACCTACTGACTCTACATTATCTATTGACTCAATAGTAGTATCTACTGACTATAGTAGTAACTACTAACTGCATAGTAGTTTCTGCAAACTCAATAGCAGTATCTGCTGACTATAGTGGTATCTACTGACTATAGTAGTATCTACTGACCCTACGGTAGTATCTCCCAACTCTATAGTAGTATAAACCAACTCTATATAAGTAAATACTGACTCTACAGGAGTATCTAATGACTATAGTAGTATCTACTGAATCTATAGTATATATTGACTCTATAGTAGTATCCACTAACTATAGTAGTAACTACTAACTCTGTGGTATCTGCTGACTCTATAGTAGTATCTGCAGATTCTATAGCAGTATCTGCTGACTCTATAGTCGTATCTACCGACTATGTAGTAGTGTACTGACTATAGTGGTATCTACTTACTGTAGTATTATGTGTACTGACTCAATAGTATTATTTACCGACTCTATAGTAGTATCGACTCTATAATAGTAACTACTGACTATAGTAGTATCTACTGACTGTAGTAGTATTTACTAACCATAGTAGTATCTACTGATGCGAAGTGAAGAGTCATCAGTGGCCAAGACTGCCGTGCGTATTGAGCCAGAGGGCCGCCGTCCACGCGGACGTCCGAAGAAGCGATGGATGGACCGAATAAAGGAAGACATGAAGACGGTCAACGCATCCCCTGAAGATGCCCTGGACCGAGCCAAATGGAGAAGACAATGCCGAAAAGCGGACCCTGCGCCACAGCTGGAACAACGCTAGGAAGAAGTAGTATCTACTGACAGTCGTATCTACTAACTATACAGTAGTATCTACTGACTTTATAGTAGTGTCTACTGACTGTTTCATAGCATCTACTGACTGTAGCAGTATTGACTGACCATAGTGGTATCTACTGACTGTAGTAGTATCTTCTGACTCAATAGTAGTATCTGCCGACTCTATAGCAGTATCAACCAACTCTATAGTAGAAATACTGACTCTACAGTAGTATCTAATGGCTATAGTAGTATCTATGGAATTTGTAGTCGTATCTATTGACTCTATAGTATCCACTGACTATAGCAGTACCCGCTGACTCTATAGCAGTATCTACTGAGTAGTATAGCAGTGTGTACTGGCTGTAGTAGTAGCTATACTAACTCTATAGCAGTGTGTACTGGCTGTAGTAGTAGCTATACTAACTCTATGGCAGTGTGTACTGTCTGTAATAGTAGCTATACTAACTCTACAATAGTACTAACTTCACAGAGTGTCGTGGTGAGGCCTAGTCCCGTGCAGAGCCCCCCGCCTCGCCTAGATTGCCCAGCCGGCCGAGGTGGCACCTTTGCAGGATGGGGCTGGGCTGCTACCCACCCCCACCATCCCCCACCCGCTCTACAATAATATTATCTAAGGACTATAATAGTAGTATCTACCGACCCTATAGTAGTAAGTGCACACATTGGGAAGAAGAGGACATCACACTGTGAAGAATTTACCTCAGTTTTGTGTATTTTTTTTGCATTTTTAATGCGAACAAGAATTCCCCCCCCTCCCAACATGTCGCGTATGTGCGTTGCTAGGGCAACCAACACCACAGAGCCGGCTTTCTCGCGCATGCGCAGATGCGTGCTCTGGTGCCATCCTGTCCTTATAAAAGTGAAAAAATTGTTAATTTAACTACTTTAAAGTTGACAGATGTGAAATACGAATAGCGCTTTTTCGTCCCAGGCCATATGGTGTGGTATCTGTGTACTTTTTTGATACGTAAACCCCACAGTTTGTCAGTTAAAAACGTCTGAAGGTACCCGCGCAGACAGACACGCAGACTCACACGCAGACACACGGACGGACAGACGAAAAATTACTTTTATAGGTAAGATTTGCGAGGCATAGTACCTGTTAATTTGCGTAACGTTGGAAATGTAAATATCCGTTTAACACTCATCCAAAAAAGCCCCTCAAAACTCACCACTGGTCTACCACTGGACAGAATGTCAGATACTCTGTCCAATGTTTAAGATAATAAGACAATACTCCAATAATAAGCATATGTTATGATTGGTGCCCATCTAAGATGGGTGCTCAAAACGTTTTGTAAAATAAATACACAATAAAGAATTTCCGTAGCTAGCCATTTGCTCCATTTCAGTCTTTAAAATGTGAGTCTCCTTTTGCATAATTTGATACTGTTATACCACCTTTGCAGCGTGCAAGAATATCTGCACATATGCAGAGTAGTAAGCCCAGATTCTTGCATTATTGCAGGCCCAACATACAGACGACGTTAAAAAAGCTCTATCAGCACTGTAATAAGTGAACTTGTAATTTGACGTATTATTTTTGCACACTAGTAGATATCCCGTTGGTCTGCGACGGATAATGAGAGATTGCTGTCATTTTCATGCTCTTCTCGCAATCTTATAATCAGAGCACGAACATTAATCTGCTCCATTATGCAATGAATTGCCACTATAATATTAATGATGAGTTTTTTAAAAAAGAATGTTCAATCGAATAAAAAAATGATTGAAATTATTACTTTAATAGGGGCACGAATTGAGAGCAATAGAGACATTTTAAATTAACCGTGTCAGTCTTCTGTGTTTGTTACTCCCACCTGTTCAGTATCTCTATTAATTGCCTTCTGAAATTCTTCCGCCCTTTCAATTAAATTCAATGTTAATTTGTTGCACGTAAAATCCAGTTGAGCCAGTTACCCTGCTAGTGGCAACAGCCACTAACAAGAGACCTGTTGTTGTTGGGGTGTAGAGAGAGGAGCCTAAGCAGCAGTCAGCGAGGAAATTCGAGGCGTACGATTGTTTTAAATAGTAGTATGATGGTAATGGTGGTTTGCAAAATGAACGACGAAACCAGCGACCCTAGTTTGACTCCTAGCCATTGTTAACAATCCGTGGTGAGTGATATCCGAACTAGTTCTGAGGAGCCCCTTTACAAACCCACACTAATCAGCATGGTGAAGTATGGTCAAACGACCCTCGTGATCAACACAGCGTGGGAAGGCCTTCATCCAGCAGACCTGAAGGCATACTTACGTCTCATGGCATGACACGTTTAGCAAAATCAGCGATACAACAAAAGTCAAATTTGAATTGAATTGTCCACCTCTCGCCCCTCTTCTGGTCCTCATTCCCTGCCGAGGTTAGAAAACGAACCTGGTCCACCTTAATTTGCTCCTGGTTAGGGAGGAAAGCCTACCCAGAGAGCTCATTCCCCTGTCATATTGATGTTATCGACAATCTGCACCTCCGATTAGTACAGTTGGCTATGTACGGTCCGAAAGAAGTTCAACAAACATTCATTCATCTGTATGTGTCCTCTGCTGCGACTGTTGTTTAGGGTTCAATAATATAAAAAAGAGAGCAGCTGCAGAACCTCTCTACCCTTCGTGTCACAGTGGCACGACGAGCCAGCTGCTGCGGATGCTCCAGCCGGGGCGGACTCACGTGTAGAAGGTGGTCCAGCCGTTCTCGTCGCTCCTGGTGGCCAGCAGGCCGGAGCTGCCGTGGTAGGTGAGGAAGGCCAGTTCGGCCCCCGGGGCGGCCACGCCCTTGAGCGCGCCGTTCACGTTGAGCGTCAGCGTCAGGTAGAGCGAGTCGTCGAGCACGATGCGCAGGGGCGCGCCGCCGGAGTCGCGGCGGATCCTCGCCGTCCGCCCGCTGCTGCTGCTCACACCGACCAACTCCCGCTCGGCGCTGTAGCTGAAGCTGTACAGGACGTCGCCGCTCACCAGGCTCTGCGTGCGCAGGTGCAACCCCTCCTCGCTGAACACGTACACCTCCTGGTCGGCGGGCGACGCGATCTCGTACTTGCCGTCGGCGACCGTCGCGGGGCGGTTCTGCCTGACGGCGCGGATGCGGATGTTGCCCAGGTCAGCGATGTAGAGCGTCGCGTCGGGGCACACGGCCAGGGCAGTCGGGGAGTTGAGCCGGGCGTCCTTGGCGTAGCCCTCCTCGCCGGCGAAGCATTCGCAGCTCATGTCGCCGTTGCAGTCGCAGTCCACGGTGGCGCCGGCGAGCAGTGACATCTCGCCATCGCTGGACACCTGCCACACCTGGTGGATCCTCTTCTCGTCCGTCTCGCTGATGTAGAGCACGCCGGCGTGGGACACGGCGAGGGCCGTCGGGGCCTGCAGCGTCGCGTGGCGAGCCACACGGATCGGCCACGGCTGCTCGGTCGAGTGGAACGGGCAGTGAACGGGGCGGCCCACGACCACGCGGACCTGGTGGTCCTCTGTCACCTGCAGTACGACGTTGTTGTCCAGGATGTAGAGGGAATTGTCCAGAGGACTAATGGTCAAGGCCGTAGGCCACTCCAATCGGATCTGTGAACAGCACCGTGGACGGAATTTTAATGTTCGTACGCGAGGTGTTATACGTATACAGCACAATAAGCGTATGTTAGACCACAGCCTGCATGGAGCAGATCTCATCCTCAAATAGCTCATTTATATATGGCTGGTTAATCATAGAGCCGTCAAATGAAACAAAACAAGCGAAGTGCAATAGTCTGCACCTGAATGCAGCAAAAGGGGAGACAAAAAAAAATCATTGATTCTTGAATCCAATAGCAGCCTGAATTTCTGACAATTTATGGAATTGCCAGTGGCATGAAGGGGGGGGGGGAGGTTGATTAATTGTTACGACCCTCGTTTGTCTACCGGAGCCTGGGGGTGTAGTTGTGGTGCTCAATGGGTGCCCCCCTATTAATCACGCTTACTTCCCAAAGCTCGTAGGGGAGATGCAGGGAATTATAAAAAAAACGCTCTCGTCTCAAATTACGACACAGGTGCTGTTGTATTTACACAATAAAAGAAATGTTTACAGAAAAAATAAGCAAGCGTAAAAATGGGTTTTCCGACTCAATGGTGTGACAATAAAATGTGTTTTTGAGTTCACGAATAGTTTTGAATGATTTGATGCACCTGCAAGTGGAAAATTCGGTGAATACACGTGTAAGAGGGGCAATGTAACAGCATGCTAATGTTGACAACTTTGGCAGTGCTTTTAAAAGTAACATTTTGCCGTCTTGGGACTACATTGTATTGGGAAATACGTTTCTTTATATCCATCTAAAATAAGCTGCGATTCAGATGATTATATTGTGATAGGATTCGGGAGCAAAGCTCTCGTAATGCGCACATGCATATAACGCGAGGCCTGTTGAATGCAAATGTTTAGGTGTGCATGCAAAAATCCATTATGAAACACGCACTTGCTAAAGGGAACGTGCGATGCATGTGCCACATGCAGCATGAACTGCTACCGTGAAATTGTAGACCAAAGCTTGTGCGATTTCATGCCTCACATACCACGTAGGTACACAGCCCTTCCCTTTACAAAGCCTCTCTCCCCCCCCACCCCCACTGTACGCGAGTACAGATTACACCGACTGCTTCGCTATGCACCCGATGTCCATGTAAAAAAAAAGTCTGACCGTACAATGCATAAACAAAACGCAGATCATTTTAGACGCTATACTTGCATCAATGTGAAAGTTCAGCAGTTTGCTAGCATCGGCCAAGCAACCACGTGAGCATAGATGGCAAATGAAATGCAACATTGTTGTCCAACACGAACGTTGCATACTACTACTGCGCATGCATACACATATACATGTATGTATATAATCTATTTCCACAGAAACATTGCAGCTGGGCTCACGGCGGCTGCAAGATGTATTCCTCAAAGAAGCAGGCCGTGAGGGGTCAACATTCGTGGGGCCTCGCTGACAAGGTGCTCATTGTCCAGTCATTTGTGGACAGGCCATTCTTGACCCAGGGTGGGATAGTTGCCACAGACACGGGGGCTATCCTGACGTCAAGGAAGTTTAATGCAATTTCCCACACCGTCTCTCGAGGGACAGAAGCATGCTTCCCATCATGTCATCGGAGAACGAGCATCTAATTACCAACAGCTACCGATGTGACATCTCACCAATAGCCGCTGCGCCAATGGAAACTGCCTGTGGACGAATGGTTATTGTTTTTATCGGCTATTCGTACGCGAGCCAGTGGTGGTGATTGACTCGGGGATGTAGACGTCCATTTCGGTTCCCCGCACGCGCTCTCCTTGCAGGAACTTGGGGTTTGTCGGCTTTGGCTGCCCTTCTCCTCTACATGGCCATGGACGCTGAGCTTCTAATAGGCATAGGTGTTTAGTTTGTTGTGTTTAGTTTGTTGTCGCCCCTCCCGCCCGCACTTCCGATTTGCACGGTTGGCTACGTACTCTGCGAAATAAGTTCAACAAACATCCTGTATATACAAGGGTGCAGGATACTCTCTATGAGAGGGTGTTTAAGCCTACTATTCCACATTGGCCAGATGTCTTGGAAGAGGTGGGAGTACCCACACTTTACCCCCACCGTATGCAAAGTGCCGATTAAACCTAACTGGCGTTACCCATTTATACTGCTGAGTAGACAGAGGCGGCAACGTTTTAAGAAACTTTCCCAACCTTGCTGCCCTCTACTGTGAGGTCTAGAGGTCACTTGAAGGGAACTCAGAGGTTGCTTTGTGGAAAATCTCTGCTGTCTCACACACGTTGGGCTGCACTTCTCTGCGACAGATGCCGAAAGCACAATCAGGATAAAATTGAGGGTGGGAAATGCTTCAACTGCTGCACTGGGAGGATTAACCAGCGACCTCTGGATTGCAACTCCGGTGTACTCACCAATACACCAAGGCAACGTCCCGGGGCTCTCATCATCTTACACATCTCACGGACAACAATGCGACATCGTATTGCTGTGTATTAAACCACGAAGCTACAAAAAAAAACCTAAGCCAAGAAATAAACGAGTAAATTGATATAAAAATCTCATAAATGCCTCACGTGGGGAATGAGTGCAATACCTTCGACATCTCCATGGTGGAATCACAGCTGAGCGAGAGGCCAGCCTGCAGGTCATTGAATCCCATCACCGTCGAAATGATTTCATTCTCATCAATCTTCCTGATCATTGACCCATCCACAAAGAAAATGTAACCGTGCTTATCCACAGCAATCCCTGGGAAAAGGAAAAAAAAATCAAAATCAAACAACATTGGCAGTCACGGTGCAAACACAAGCTCTTCCATTTGTAATAAACTATGCAAGGCAGCAGCGAGTGCTGTCAGTGGGAGTTACACAAAAAATCCTTAGAGGAGCAATCCACACGTAATTGCAAGCACTTGCAGTCTTGTAAGGAACACCACGACGCGTATGGGTTCAATAGATTATTATAGAGCAATTTAAATTTAGTTTGAGCTCTTTTTTCCATATTGGTGGAGTGCAAACTGCCGTGTTTACATTCCACTTTTCAAAAACACTTTTGTCTCCGACACACCCAATTGTCACCGGTTGACACTTTGTCTTTTTATTAACCCCACACTGCTTCGCAAGTTACACTCGCTGACCTCTCTGCGAGGAAAATCCACAAAGTGGCTCGCCTGAACGCAGGTCCCCCCTTTCACAGCACGCCAACGCATGCCCGCGCTGGACGCCGAAATTGGATTTTGTCTTCTTCCATTCCGAGAAGACGCTCTCCCAGAATTTATCTCGCAACTCGGGCCAACGTTTGGCCGCAGCGGAAGGTCGCGCTGAAAATGAAGCGTTGCCCTCGCACTTAACGCGCCGCTGTTTAGCAATTCCTGTTAAATGCCCGCGGTGCCCGTGTCTCATATACCCCCCCCCCTCCCTCGACCTCACACCTGCCGTGTGGCGCCCCTAAAGATGCTCTTGCACGGCTGAGCTAAGCTCGGATTTAGCCCTTTCAGCACGGCCAGCTCATGATCTGTATGTCAGCTTAACGCAGAATACAAGTGTGGAGAGAAGAGCGGATGTCAATGCTTTTTATTCTTGACTTAAAAAGGACACTTGAATGATTTTTTTTCGGGAAAATTCCTATACTGGGGGGAACAACTGAAATCTGTTCTTAAGCCAATCTCTGGGCACACGGGGCCACACTGCTCTGTGAGAGATCCGAACGGATACTCAGTCTCATAGCATGACGCCAATAGCACAATTGGAATAACACTGTGGATGGGGGGGGGGGGGGGTAAACATATATTCAAGATGTTTTTGCTAAAGTTGTGAAAACATGAAATATTCGCAGCTCAAAATGCCCGAATGAACGTCAGCAGGAAGTCACGCACGGTCTCACGTATGGCCGGATAAAATAAGGGAAAGTTTTATTTTATTCGTTTTTAAGGACTACATCGTAGAGCAGTTGGCGTGCGTGACCCCGTCGGTGTGCTTTGGGTGGCAGCTACCCCGCGGGTTGGCGAGAGAGGCGTTGAGGGCCCTGCCGCCGTCTCCGCAGCGCGTCTCGTCCAGAGGCAGGCACTGCTCGCCGGTGCCAGCCACCACCTCCCCGCCCACCACGGGGTCGGCGCCGTCACCCGGAGCGGAGCGCACGCGGTAGATCTTCCGGCTGCTGGTGTCCGACAGGTAGAGCCAGCCGCTCACCGGGTCCACGGCCAGGTAGTAGCGGTGCGTGGGATTTGTGCTGCGGAATGAGCAAGAAGGAGAATCATCAATGCCCCTTTTCGTGTCTGTGGAGAAGCACCGTTATTCCCGATGTTACACTTTGCGTAGGGCTTTCGTTTTTTTTTTGCAGTTTCGCTGCTCGGCTATCCGATGTATTTTCCAGCTGTTCTGCGCATTGTTTGGCACGATGTCCGACGTTTCGCTCCACGTGCGTGCAGATTCTTCGCCAATTAATGGCATACAATTGACCGTGCCGGGAGATTTTTCAGGAATTCGGTTACTGAAGAATCTCCCAGCACGTAGAGTGGAACTTCAGGCATCATCTACAAGAACAATACGCGGTACAGCTATACGTTACACTTCTTAAAACCGAGGGAGAGGGTGATGAAAGCTGTAGGTATTTATACTGTAGGTGTGTGTACTGCAGGTATATGTACCGTGGTTTTTGTACTGTGGGTATGTGTACTGTAGGGACGTATTGTAGATATATGTATGGTGGGTATGTGTACTGTGGGTATGTGTACTGTAGGTATGTGAGCAAATGGATTGAAATAGTTGTGTCAGTAGAATTAGGACATGGCTGCTGCTGGTTATGTTAATAATGATGGGAATTCAAAATTATGTCCACAAAATTAAAAATATATTTATCATTGTTTATGAATGAACACTTCCAGCTAAAAAAGAAACCTGTTTAAAAACAGTACTAAGCATTTGTGCTATATCAAAGATGTAGCATCCACAGGTAATTAGAAAGTTAAATGGTCTTTACATGACAAGTATATACTGTATATACATTTATATCTGTCGTGTTGACTATTTCCAGGAAAAAAATAAGTCTAGTTAATTTTACAGGATTGCGTGCGCTTAATCTCAAACTTGGAAAGATAAATTCTTGTCAACGTTAATCCGCGAACACATAGAATATATTAACTATAAGATGTAATCATCATAACCTTCCAAGTCATATGACAGACTTTCCGCTTTCCGCTGCCACTTATTTTCCAATCTAGAATACACTCTATTATTTTTTTAGTCCCTGCGGTAACAGCATTTTTGTTTTATTTCGAAACGTCTCTCTGCAGCTTAGTTCAGATGGCTTTTTATTTTTTGCAAAAAAAAAAAAACACTTTCAAAATGTGTGAATGTCAAACACAACAAAAAAAAACACAGTAATCAGCTGGGTACTCCCATTGGCCAGAAATGGAATGGGGGTCACGATGACTATGTCCCACCGCGACGAGGTAAGAGAGTGGCGCTCATTTTCTCAGCTTGATGTAACCTGGCAACGGTGCTGTCACTGCCAGCTGTGAGCACGTGGAACCACCCCATCCTCCAGTCTCGTGTGGGCAGACATGCTTTGTGGGCAACTAGACGAAGCAACTTCTTCCAAAAATGGCAATTTGCTTCCGAATAATGTTACTTTTGTTGTAACCCTTGTAACTTCCTTTTGCCTGTGCAGTTCCTGTCCATTAGTGGCCTCCGAACTCTTTCGTTCTGCGGTGTGCCTTTGCTTCTTTGCCCCAGACTCTCCTCCGTGGTTAACGAGGATGCAAAAAATGTGAAACTTAAGTCTCCAATGCTCACACAGTTGTGACAATGGACATTTTCACGATACATTTATCAAAATCTGAATATCAACGTGCACACAAGACGTACAAGGATGAGACGTTATAATTTGGTTACAATGAGGACTTTAAAAAATCAGTACAGTATATTAAAATCAAAATATTTACTGTCCTTGGCCCAAGGCATGTGAGATTGTTTTGTAGATAGATCTAGGATAGCACCTGGTCCTCCCCTCTCCGAAGCCAATTCTTTTGACTGCAATTTAAATGATAAAACAAAGTGATTCTTACATGTTTTTTCTCCCAGGAATAGTTCTACATCCATTTACCACTGGGGACTAGCTAGCATTTTAGTAGTTTTAATCAATATGCTCACCAGCTTACAAACCAAGCTACAGTCTATATTATAGACTGCCAGTACACTCACCGAGGTGAAAGAACCAGGCTACAGTCTACAATATAGACTTCCAGTATGCTCACCAAGGTTAAGAACCAGGCTACAGTCTACATTATAGACTGCCAGTACACTCACCCAGCTTAATAACCATTGCTACAGTCTACATTATAGACTGCCAGTACACTCACCAAACTCAATAACCAGGCTACAGTCTACATTATAGACTGCCAGTACACTCACTCCGATTAAGAACCAGGCTACAGTCTACATGAATGTTTTTTATTATTTGAATTTTATTATTTTTATTTTCATTCACTTTATTTTTCATTATTATTTTTCTTCTATCTACGTAACTTTACCGAAAGAACCAAAGATTTTATGGCATTGTGTTTAATGTCTTCCTCGCAATTCACATTACTGCACAAACACACCTTCATATGAGCAGCCTGCTGCTGTTTGTCTTGATAAAAATGATCAATGATAAAAAGCAAAGCATGCCAAGTGATTTAAATGTTCTACACGTTATTCTTACTTGAGGTCTATCCTTTGCCATTACAAATCCCAGCAGTATTTCTCTCTGTTTAGCCAATGTAATTTTTCATTCCCATGCGTGTGTGAGTTATATATATATATGTTTTTCTGGGTTACATAATTTTAAAATAAACTTTTCACTTCCAAGCAATGTGCTCACTTATGCATCTGGTATTGTTTTGCTAAGTTTGGGGATTCTTTTTTTAGGTGAAGTGAAAGACACAAATAACTCTCGACGCACAGATGGGTTTTCACAGTAAGGGCGCACGCTGGTAATAGGTATAATCTGTGGTCGTTTAAAATTTAATTGAATTGAATTTCCTTACCATTTTATCCAGATACATATTGTTATTGACTAAATTTTAGGAAAGGACCATGGCCTCATTTGATCAAGTGAATGGGTGAATATGGCCCAATTTGAAAAGACAGTATGTGGGTTTTAAATCAAATGTCTCAGCACTTATATTGGCGCTGCCTACACCCTCTGCAATTAAAGGTCAATGCGTTCTAAAAGACCACGTGTGAACCCTGCAAATATAAACACGAATACAAATTGATCACATCGGTGGGAGTCTACGATAATCTTTAAATGGCATTCTCTTTCTATTTCGTTTGTCACAATCTGACATTTTAAATCCAATACCCAGAAGGTGCAAAGACGATGGAAATACATCAGGATATAGGACATGGTATAGACACACTGTCCTGTAGTGTTGCAGCCATGCTGATAGAGAATGGTGTGATCATTAAAAGTGAGTTTCTGAATGTGTGTGTGCGTGCACATATGTTTGGTTATATATACATTAAAAAACAACATGTTTACAAAACATGATGCAAGGAGTGCATGAAGGTATCAAGCAATTATATGAAAGGAAAATATTAGTACAGTTTGAACTGCGTAGATGAATTGTGAAGTTTTGAAAAAAACTGAGTGAACAACTAAAAGCTTGAGTGATAAAAAATTAACCCGTAAAAACACAGTTTTTGACTATAAATCCTTTATATGCGTGGCATCGGGGAGGCTAGAGTCCTCTCGTCCTCTGGCTTGAGATGGCTGCCACCTATGGGTCAGATGATTGTCTGGCAGCATTAAACAATTGGTAATTAAATATAAAAAAAAAAAATCCATAAAAAGTGTAAAATTATGGAACATTTTTTTTCACGAAAATGCATTGTCACGCACAACGAGTCTGTGTGCAAAATGTCAGCTCGATTGGATCACGGGAAGTGGGTTAAAAAACGACCGAAAGATTTGCACGGTCCTAAGCAAGCAAGCGAACTTAATATAAAGGATTTAAAAATACTTCAGCACTTATTTCGAAAGCATTTGAAACAATCACGACTGTGACTTCGCGCAAACATCTGGGACCATCTCAAATCTGTATATGAGGTGTGGTACCAATGCCATGGTGGACGTGTGTCGGATAAGAGGGATGATATGTATCTGATAAATACTAATACGACAACGTGTGTGTGCCGTACGGTGTATTTACCAATTACAAATCGCCGTGTAATTAAAAATAATTAATAATGCACGATAGCTGTATTGATACCCTGTAGTGCAAGTTAATTGCACACTTATCGTTGGGCTTAGAGTGAAGTTTCCTGTTTTGATATGTCAATCAAATACTACATTAAAGAGTAAGTAGATGATAATTATTACTTACAGTTCTTCAAACAGTTTGATCACGTGTTATATAGCTGTATGTGTGTGTAATTTGTGCATTTCTGGCTACAAAGGAACCACAATGCTGTTTGTTGTGAAGATGGTCAGACGTGCCAAGATGCTTAATTGTGCACAGTTGGTGAATATAAATAAATAGATCTAAAATGGAATCTATGGAAATGTCATTTTTTTTACCTGTGCCTGAAATCTTTATTCCTGAAAATAGGGAAGGCAGTGGCACAGAAACAAAGAACAACAAGGAACAGTTTAGTGAGGAAGCAATAGATCAAGCACGAGTAGGAAAGTAAACACACTCACCCACCCACTCACCCACATAACCATATATTCATCCAACCACTCACTCAATTACTCACCCATCCACTCATTAACTCATCCACTCACTCATCCACTCACCCACATATCTATTTACCCACTTGCCAATACATTTAACCACCCACTCGTCCACACACCCACTGACCCACCCATCAATCCACTTTTTTCGTCACCCATCCACTCACTAGCCCACCCATCCACTTACTCATCCTAACCATCTAATCACCTACTCACCCCACCCAACCAACCACTTACCCAGTCACATAGCCACCCATCCACTTACCCACTCACCCATTCACATGCCCACTCAACTCCATGCTCACGATATCACATATGCGTTCACTGCAGCAAGAAAAGGTCTGAGGAAGTTAGGGATTTTTTTTTACATGACACCAAATTCCATAAGCTACGTTTTTTGCTTTTTTTTTACTTAAAACTTTCGTGACTGCAGGAATTCATATTCTTTGGTTCTTTCGGTAAAGTCACGTAGATAGAAAAATAATAATAAAAATGAAGTGAATAATTTTTATAAAAATAAAATAAAAAGATTTGAATACAAATCTTGTTATTTAACTTTTTATATTTTATTCACTTAATTTGTATCATTTTTCTATCTACATCACTTTACCAAAAGAACCAAAGAATACGTTATTAGCTATCAACAATTTTTTTTTTCATTACACACAACTGTTAAAATATATCACGTATAACAGTTTTTCAAAACTAAATTACGCCACCTGCAAATTTATTTTATCTCCTGTGAAAGTACATTACATTAATCATTTATTCATTAACATTTAGAAAAAAAAATCTGTGATCGTTATGGATGACCATACCACACAATCCGTTTTGCGATTCATTAGTGCTGCGTAATTACATTGCTAATTGTCTTCAGAAATTTCGAGTTGCACCAGCATCGTTGCTGGGAACTAATTGATTAGTTCGAAGAAATTTCAGATATGCCAGGCCATATGAAGCTTGTTAAGGTTTCAAATAAATAAAATTCAGGTTTTTATAAAGAATAAACATCCACTTTGTACAAAATGAGACAATTTAGCCCCCCCCCCCCTACTAAAATATCGGTTTGCCAAAATAAAAGAAAAATGCAAAGATTAAAATACTTGTGGGCAAAATCTTTAATTTTAAAAGGCCCTTTATGCTTGAAATATTACTACCAGAGCTTAATTTCAACCCGAGCTGTCAGGGGCAGAGTTCCAGAAAATGTGTCCTTTCCAGGAGTGTCTGGAAGGAGGGGGCGGGCAGGGTTGAAGGGCTCTGGGAAATATTCCACGATAAATTGATTCCTGCTTACAGTGGTACAATGTAAGCCGTACAAACTCTCTGCTCCCATTCCTTAATTGGCATTAGTTGACATGAGACAGTGTCCGTGTGCAAATTGGACCTACAGAGGTGACGCCATGGAAATCTGGGTAGAGGTGGAATCCGCCAGACGTGGCGAAGAGTGATGGCGAATACAACCTTCACAAAATAATGACCAACAACCAAAAAATATTGTCTCTTGGGAACGGTGAAATAAAATGCGAAAGATTATTTGCAAAAAAGCCACATTCAGGATAATGAATCATGCTGTTGTTACAGCTGCCGCAATGTTAGAGGCGGTGGGGAAACATCCATGTCCTTGGATCAACGCTATCCGACTCAATAATATCGCAGCATCCACAAGGAATTCGGTTATATGATGCCCAAAAAACCCCATGTCATTGTCTGTTAATTAATTAATTCGTTATTGGGCATTGTCACAAATTATATCACTAATATCCTGTCAGATGTATGTAAAGAAAGCTCTTTTAGAACGGGCTGTTGTCTGGACTTTAACCCAGCATGTGTGTCTTCTCTATCCAATACATAACAATTATTATTATTGCTTTAACACATGTATTGGATTTTTTTCTTCCATTGCCCTGGATCATTTCAATCTCCTCGTGCTTTAAAAAAAACGTGTTTTTAACCGTCCCCTAGAAGAAGAAGTGTTGATGCAGCGAGTACAAATACGTAACGATACCGCGGTCAGATTGAGACACGTGGAATGGAAATAATAAAATAAAAAAAATAAAACATAATAAAGTATTATTATGTTTTATTTTTTTTACTTTCTTATTTCCAATACTTTATGTTTTATTTTTATTATTTTATTATTTCCATTCTACGTGACTTTACCGAAAGAACCAAGAAGAATTATCATTATTATTATTACTTTAACAAATATATTGGATTTTTTTTCTTCCATTGCCCTGGATCATTTCAATCTCCTCGTGCTTTAAAAAAAAGTGTTTTTAACCGTCCCCTAGAAGAAAAAGAAGAAGTGTTGATGCAGCGAGTACAAATACGTAACGATATCGCGGTCAGATTGAGACACGTAGAATGGAAATAATAAAATAATATAAATAAAACATAATAATACTTTATTATGTTTTAAAACATAATAATACTTCATAATGTTTTATTTTTATTATTTTATTATTTCCATTCTACGTGACTTTACCTAAAGAACCAAGAAGAATTATTATTATTACTTTAACAAATATATTGGATTTTTTTTCTTCCATTGCCCTGGATCATTTCAATCTCCTCGTGCTTTAAAAAAAAGTGTTTTAACCGTCCCCTAGAAGAAGAAGAAGTGTCGATGCAGCGAGTACAAATACGTAACGATACCGCGGTCAGATTGAGACACCTCACCGCAATTCAAAGACGCTAGTGACATTTCCCGAAGGAAGGATGCGTCGCACGAAGTTAAAGTCACCGACGTAGAGGCTGCCGTCGGGCGCGCACGCCAGGCCCATGGGGGCCAGCAACTTGTTGCCCTCGGCGACGCCGTTGCAGCTGGGGCAGGAGATGCTGCGTCGGCGCCCGTTGCCCATGACGCTGGAGATCACAGGGGGCAGCTGCCACACCAGCACGCTCTCCCCGCTGCCTTTGTGCACCGTGCCTGCAGCAGAGCAGCACGACGCCACGGTTAAAGCATCAGCAGCAGCATCAGCAGCAGCATCAGCAGCAGCAGCATCAGCAGCAGCATCAGCAGCAGCAGCAGCATCAGCAGCAGCAGCATCAGCAGCAACAGCATCAGCAGCAGCAGCATCAGCAGCAGCAGCAGCATCAGCAGCAGCAGCTTCCTTATCTTTCGATTTAAAGCTTTCGTGACTGCAGGGATTCATCTTCTTGGTTCTTTCGGTCAAGTCACATAGAAGGGAAATAATAAAATAATAAAAATAAAACATAATTAAAAATAATTCTCACGACGTTTCGGCCACAACGCAAGCAGCCGTCCTCAGGTGAAGACCAGGTCTGTCCGGGAGACAGCGTCTGACAGACCTGGTCTTCACCTGAGGACGGCTGCTTGCGTTGTGGCCGAAACGTCGTGAGAATTGTATTTTATTATGTTTTATTATTTTATTATTTCCCTTCTACGTGACTTTACCAAAAGAACCAAGAAGAAGCTTCCTTATCGTTATTTTGTCTTACGAAGTATGTGCAGTTACCCGAAGGTTCATTTCTCCGGGAATATATCCGGGGAGTGTGATGGGGGTGGGACATACATATTTTTAAGAGCTCAACCCCAGACAACTCGAGCTGTAAGTCTGATGAAAAATTATTTTAGAAAAAAATTATCCCAACCGTTACATGGCCTGGTAGCAGCTTGTTGGTGATAATAGCTGTGATAGTCCATTGGAACCTCATTTGCCAGTAAAAATATGATAATTGTTTTTTTACCCTTCTATCTGGCAACAAAACTGACACCTTTTTTTACAAGGAGTCATGTTTACATAGACCACAATACCTGCAGGCATAATGCAAACAAAAAAAATAACTCTGATAATGTGCACTGTCCTTGAAGTTGATTGGTCCACACCCGAGAACAGCTTTCCTTAGAGTCATGTGAGACTAGGCTCTAAGGAAAGCTGTCTCGGGTGTGGACAGTGCACATTATCAGAGTTATGTTTTTTGTTTGCATTATGACTGCAGGTATTGTGGTCTATGTAAACATGACTCCTTGTAAAAAAGGTGTCAGTTTTGTTGCCAGATAGAAGGGTAAAAAAACAATTATCAGCTGTGATAGTGTTTAGCAATTAAAATAACATTAATCAATATTATTTTATTCACTTTATTATTTATTATTTTATTGTTATTTGTTCTATCTACGGGACTTTACCGAAAAGGACCATAGAATATAACATTAATAATATTTAAGTGATTTGAAAAACTACATCTTCCATGGTTTATAATAACCATCGTTTAGTCTTATGTACTGTGGGGCATGTGTCAGCAAGCAGCTATCAAGACAAGTAGGGTGGAATTATGAATCGATGAATGTAAATTCTCAAATTCACAATACTTGCACATAATTGTTTTTGTAATGATCAATGGTTTACGATCGATGTATGTTGTATGTAATGGGTTCACATCATCGCAGAAGCAAATAGAGGTGCTACGATTTATTGCAACATTTGTTTTACTTCATATATAGCTCCAAATAACCAGCCTAAACCAAAAAATACAACTAAACTGAAAACAGAATGATAAAATAATTCCCTATCACGGTTTCCAAGTTATGTGGTAACCCCCATTAGTTTAAACTTATAATGATGATTGGAAACCACTTCTATGCATCGAATCGATACATTCATTATCGGTTATGGTGATAATATTGAAGGATTATTTCATGAATCGGGTCACATAATAAATGTTTAAACTGTGCAGAAAAGGAAATGAGTAGAGAAAGGGTGGGGGGGGGGGGTCAACTCTGATCTCAAAGCCATCAGCAATCCAAGTGAAAAGCACAGAAAAAATGGCTCTGCAAATGTATACAACAGGATATGGACCCCTGCACAAGGGCACCTAGGTGGTGAATAGAAGCCAAATTACACATTTGTTTGAGCTGTTCCTTTATTTAAGGAGGATCATGAGTCGTCCAGTTATGTAACATAACTAACCCTCATAGTAACACAACCACAAGAGCATTTGCTCATGTATGGAGATTCATGGAGATATATATGGAATCTCCATGTGTAGAAAATAGACTTTTTGTGTTTACTTGGTTGTCCTTCCCCTGCACCTCCGATTAGCACGGTTGGCTACGTACGGTGCTAAAGAAGTTCAACATACATACAAGATTTGATTGAAGAGGACAAACAGCTGTATTACAAGCTTCACGGTAGCGATGCAAGATTTGTCATATATACCTCGACACATCCAAAAAGCGTGCACATGTGCTTGCACCATCCCTCCTGGGCCAAGCAGACAGAACGGTTGTCGGTCAGGGATGTATATTGCTCGCTGAGAATTCGTACGACACGAACCGTGAAGAAACCGAAATTGAGTGAATCTCAGCGAGACTGATTTGATACCTCAATAAATAAAGTCCCATATGTCAGCCCACCGCCATTCAGGAACGAGACGTGCCAGCATATTTTGCCGCAGAATTATGGCACGTGTGCGTGGATCGTACGGTCGCAGCAAAGCATCTCTGATTATCGAGGTTGGCTACGTATAGTGCGAAAGAAGTTCTACATACATACATACAATTAAGAAAATATGCAGGTTATCTAACTGCATTAAAGGATTGCTAAACCAATTGAAAACTGAATGATTTTCAAGCATTACAATTATGAGATGAGGAAATTATGGCAATCTTCATCTGTAAATGTTTGTCAAATGATGCTTGTGTAAATCATATTTAACTTGAAATGTCAGATGACCTTAGACGTTTGTCTTGACTGGTCTTAACATAAAAAGCTTCGGGCCTTGCCCTCTGCTTGGCCTTGACCTGGTGGCTGCTACACTACACTTTGACCTCAGCATTGTGGTTTTCAGCCTCGATCCTCACCTCACGGGTTCCAGCCTTGAATCCACTATCGACCAGATGCCAAATATATACGTACATATCCCGAAGTGTGCAATTGACGGATTATGCGCAACTTACTGCTGTGTACATCGAACACATGGTGGTTGCTGAGAGTCCATCCTCCCAGCCTGGCCGAGTCCACCGTGAGGGCCGGCAACACCGCGCTGCGTCGCTCCCAAATCACCAGCGTGGGGCACGGCTCGTACTCGTAGCCCACGGACACCAACTGCGGGGGGCACACGGGGGGGGGGGGGGTTGATGCTCTTGTTCTGACGGCGAAAGCATAGGGGGGGGGGGGGGGGCTGTGCGAGTGGGTGGCGTTGCAGGTTCACCCACAGCCTGGGCATGTCCCGTGACGGGCTGTCCGTAGGCGTCGGTGCTGTCCCACTGGAAGGTGTGCCGCAGGCCAGGCGTCGCCGGGAACCACGTGTGGAAGAGCCGGCCCTCCACCGCGACGGTGAGGTGCACTTTGAGCAGGTTGAAGGGGATGGAGGCTGGCGTGAGGATGATGGTGAGCAGAGACTTGTAGCCCACTGCACGGCTGCTCAGGTAGACCAGCTGGAGGTCGCTACCGGGTAGAGGGATGACGTCCTGGACAGCCTGACGGAGGAAGAAGGTGGGAAAGTAGCAAAGTCAAAATGCAGAGGGTAAAACTGTGCATTTAGGAAACTGGACCAGTGTCCTATAATCCTGCCTTACACTTAGCATGTTCACGTGTACACATACACGTACAGCCCTTTTATCAGTCTACTGGTGCATAATGACCTCCCCAACACCGTGTGTGTCATGGGGGTTATTTTACTATGCTTAACCGTGATGGTCAGTGTGGGTTGGTAAAGATTGGGAGCATGGATGTGGGAGAGTTGGAGTACAGTACAATAATACATGTTCTGTGGGGCTCTCATAGCCCCGCATAAATATGCTTTGTGCATGGTGGTCACCCATCCAAGGACCATCCAGGCACAAACCAGGTTGGCCTTCCAGATCAGACGATATCAGATGCATTCTCGGCAATTTGTTCATAGGTTCACGTAGCATTAGATTGAATAATGATGTCCTTTACTTATTAAGGAATACATCACTGAGTTTCAAGACTCTTCTTAAGGTGGGTCCTGCATAGGGATGTTTGGCCATTATACTCATAGTTCTTTCGGTAAAGTCACGTTGGTAAAAAAGTGACATTAAAATTAATCAAAAATTAAATAATAATAATAATGTTTGGCCATTTCCATTTAAAGCTTGAAACCAATCAGCTGACAGCTGTATAAGATGGTTCAGGTCTCAGAGCAGTTTACCGGTGCCAATGTTTCGTTATCCCAGTGGCGAGGTGCAACTTTGATCACACGTACGCAGGCAATGGAGATCTTGTGTACTTGTGTCCTTTTTACACGCTTTTATTTAACTCACTCTGTCTGTTGTTGTTGTCGTTGTTGTTTCCTCAAATCTTGTAACTCCATTTTAACCCACTTCCCAATGTGGTATCGACTGCAAAACTTGGTATACTTATGTCATACTGATGACAATACTATATTCTATCATAAAACATATTTTTAAACACTTTTTTTATATGTTATGTTTCGGCTTGGGTCTAATTGTCCACGGTAAACTAACGTTGGCTGTAATTGGCCACGGTTCCTTACGTTATGGCAAGCTTCGGGGCCACTTCCCGGAGTCGTGAAGTTCTTCCATTACTAGCACGGTACATTTCATTAAAGCGTGTTTTAAAAGTTTTATTTTTAAATATTACTTATTTAATCACAGTAACTGTCGAAATGTATATTCACTCACGTGCCTCCTCTTGCCCCCCCACCCCCACAAATGCAATTTGTGTATTGCCATCAGACAACAATGATCTACTTCTGAATGCCAATGCTGTTTATAGCAGCAACAACAAAAAATAACAGGTCTCGATGTGAAGTGGCAACCAAACTTGCTTGGCATAATGCAAGCGACGCCATTGGGAAATTTATGACCACAACCTTCAATCCGCTGTCACGGCGATTGCGGTGACCATTGTCATCAGCGGCCTTATTTCCGTCACTGTTTGCACCGCCAAATACTTTTTGTTACACTGCGCATGAATTATTTATAATGTCACGGCCGAAGTCGTTAGTACAGTTTAAGAGGAAGAACATTTCATGAGGAAATGGTTGAAGGGAGCTGCCCTATGAACCTGAAGACATTAATTTTCATACTCTTTCATTTTCAGTAAGACGCACATTCATTACTCTGTCTCGTAGTGTTTAGCAGCAGATTGCTTTCCCTCTATTTTGAATCGAGAATGATATACCAAGTGACATGTATTACTGAACAGTGCATTTTTTTCCACTTGTAAAAAAGAAATGTTTTTTTTTTATTTGTATGAATTTTTTGACAATATAATAAGTACAACACAGTATTTAATTTAAAGTGGTGGTTTTATGCACAAAATTGTCAGCGGCAACAAATTATAACAACAACAACCGCCATTCAAGTGCACATTGTACGGTCACATCAGAAGAGCATCTGCCCCAGGGCTGTGTGCACTTTAAGACCATGGCAGGGTGGTGAAGGCTTGTTTACACGAGGTCACGGGACACGGCCAGATGGCAGAAGTCGGAACCGGTCCACGCCGTCCCACATGGCCAGTTGTGGCAGAAGCCTTTGGCTCGTGAAGGCTCTCCAAGGAAAGCATCGCAGTCCCTTGGCACTGCCAAATGATGTTTGGCCAGAAGACTTCACAAGAGTTTGTCCCCTCGAGGGACACTGGTACAATGTCTCTTTTTTTTTGACGTAATTTCTTGAATCGTGGCTATTTATTTTAGTATACTCATGTTAACGACGCGTGCATATGCATTGTGGGACTACGCTTGGATGAGTATGCACCTGCTTGCACATAAACAGACTTAAAATAAATATTCACAATTAATGTAAGATGGGGGTGGAGCGGTGGCAAAGGAGTTAACGCCACTGCACTATGAATCCGGTGAACTGAGTTTGACTCCCTGACTTGGCTAACATCAGCGGTGAGTGATATCTAAAACGGTCCTCCACTAACCACCCCTTCGTCAACTTGAGCTGACCAAGCTGGTGAAGTATGGTCAAACAAGCCCCATGACTGACACGAGGCCTTGATCCAGCAGTGGATTGGTAAAGGACGATGTGTTGTTATGTTTAATTAAAAATATATTTATAAAGTGAAAATGTAACGGTGCAGAATTGCAACGTATTCCTCACGCCACTGCTGGAAGAGGGGTCTCCAGCAGAGCAAGCTCTAGAGAGCCCCTCTCGAAGGTAATTTGGCCTACTCTTCCACGGTGGCTAAACATCCTGAAAGAGGTGGGAATACCTAACCCCACCGCATGTGACTTGCCGATTGACCAACTAGGGTGTAGCCATTTATACTCAGCATATGTATTTGTTCCTGGAGGAATCCGATGAGCTATGAAGTCCATCAGATTGTCAGTTTTGTTGCCAGATAAAAGGGTAAAAAAACAATTATCATCTTTTTCACCGGCAAATGAGGTACCAATGGTGTAAATGCTTACCCCGAGTTCTCATACTCTGATGGTGCATTGTCTTTGAGTTGTGTGCCTTTTGGCGTCATCTGGTCCAACCCACGTGAGACTAGGCTCTAAGGAAAGCTGTCTCGGGTATGGACCAATCAACTTCAAGGACAGTGCATACATTATCAGAGTTATGTTTTTTTTGCATTATGACTGCAGGTATTGTGGTCTATGCAAACATGACTCCTCGTAAAAAAGGGTGTCAGTTTTGTTGCCAGATAAAAGGGTAAAAAAACAATTATCATATGAAGCTCTTTTTCACATATGTCCAGTAGGGCAGGGTCAGCAAGTTACATCGACTGCTGGGTTAACACAGACAGAGACCAAATAGAAACGGCACCCTTAAGGTTGCAAGCGCATTGGCACTATCCATTATACCATAGCAGCTTCCATTTAAAAAATATATATGATGTCAAAAACTATCTATACACGTTGGTTCTTTGGGTAAAGTCACGTAGGTATAAAATAAAATAAATCACGACGTTTCTATTGCAACACAAGCAATCATCAGGTGGGAAAACCACAGCAATATTTTTTTTACTGAAGTGGGAGAGAGAGCTGCCGTGGCAAGAGGTTATATGGGAAAGAAAGGGGGGAGGGGCAAGGTGGGGAGAGAGAGGGGGGGGGGGCTGTGTGAACACGAGGAGAGGGGACGACATGAGGCTGGGGGGGGGGGCAGTGCTGGAAGTGGGAGGCCGAGGGAGCTGGGGATGCAGGGGGGGAAGATAACTCGGAAAAATAGAGCAGTACCCGGCAGATAAGATAGACAACAACCATAAAGCAGTTACGGTTTTACCTGGTTAATAACATCCTTCCCAAAAAAAATCTTGCTGTGGGTTTCCCACCTGGTGATTGCTTGTGTTGCAATAGAAACGTCGTGATTTAATTTATTTTCTACCTACGTGACTTTACCGAAACAACCAAAGAGTATGGATTCCTGCGGTCACGAAAGCTTCAAATCAACTCTATATTTGTTCCTTTTTTCATCTGTTGTCACTTTCTTCCGAGGACGCACGTCTCAGCGGGGCACACCTGTATCTCGGGCACGACGGTGCCCGAGGGCTCGCACGCCCCGGGTCCCGAGGGCAGCAGAGAGGGCAGCAGCAGCGGCGCGGGCCGCGGCAAGCCGCTCACGTCGCACGTGGGGATCTCGTTCTCCTCTCGCCGCATCACCACCGTCTCCATAACGACAAAGTGGTCCCACGGCAGCCAGAGAGTGCGCAACTGCGTGGGGAAGGGCGGCCTCTCAAACTGCAGGGTGGACGCGACACCACCACTCGCCATCAGGTCGAATCTGGGCCCGGGGTCGAGAAAAAAAATAACGATCAAATGAAGAAGCCAGGAGCCAGCCCATTAAACAGTTGAAAGCTCGGACAAAGCGTAACTAGAATGAAGAGCTCTTGCGGAATGGCCGTGTGGTGCAACCAACCTGACACCAGGCGATCCCGATGCAATTAAGTCGTCGGTACTAATGCCCATAATTGTGATTTGAAATAAATAAAGATTGGCGCAATGAAAATGTATTTTCATTACGCATGTTGGTATGCACTTAAAAAACACTTAGTGCTATTAATTCAAATGTGGTGGTCACACAGGAGTGGCCTTCCTACGTACTTGCCAGACAGTGGGTTGAATTAAACATTAATACCGAGAGAGAGAAAAAAAGGACAACTGAAATTTCACTTCATGCATCTCTTGTGATGAGACAATTTTAAGTGAGAGGGATTTACTTGATGTATTTGTTGTTTTCACATTTGGCATTGTAGTGCTTTCCAGATGATACAGATTTTTTTTCACGGTCACCAATGTTGTATAAGAACCGGTATGACTAATTCACTAAAGCATATCATTATAGCAAGCTTATACAATTCTTAAATCAGACCTGATTAAGATACAGCCCATTATTGGTTTATTGTAATTAATTATTATGATTGGCTTCATTACCATTTTCCATTTAAATACTTGGTGCCTTAATGCAATTGCTTTGCAACCCATTACAAACCGAATACATGAATACATTACGGAACAACTGACGTGTGTGCACGTGTGTGTGTTAAAAAAAACATCCACACTTTCATTTAAGCGTGACGGATCTTTGCAATAGCTGACAAAAAAATTAAAACGTACGTGAAAGCCGTAAAATGTGTCAGCTGATTGCTTGCATCAAACACAACGCTGCACTTTTGTGTCATCCCACCGAGCTTGTCACTTTCTTACGTTTATGAACACACACACACGCACGCGTCTGTGGGATGTGATGGAGTTGCGATGAACATACACGCGTCTACGTGGTGCAATGGCGTCTTGATGGAGAGCTGGTGTGTTCAAAGGAAATGGGGGCACGGCGTGCTGAGTGGATCCGCACTGAAGCAATTGACATTATCGATGCAACAACAAAACATATACATCCGATAGCGAAGAGATGTACTGAGGCTCTTCACTCAAGGAGGGGCGAGTGCACACAGCCGGAGTGAACTTTCTCTCACAAATTCTATATGAACGAGTTAAGATCACCTTGAAAATGAAGTATGCCCTGAAATATCTATGAATTGCTATTTTATAGAACAGGATATTAGCAATTGTTCCATACAGATTATTGTGCAAATTGTCTTGTAACTGAAGGAGAATGCATTTCCTTGCAATGGTGGGAATTGGCTTTGAGTACTGTAGATGAGCCTCAGATTAGCCAAATATCATCATCATCAGCCGCCGCCATGATCTAACCACTGCTGAATGACCAATATATGAGTCCAAATGTTTGTTAATATTTTGTATGGATGGATGTTGAACTTCTTTCACACCATACTTAGCCAACCGTGCTGATCCAATATTATAAATGACTAGCTTTACTACCCGGCTTCGTCCGGGACTTGGATTCACCACGCCCGGCCGCCTTTGTCCCCCCAGTGGCGATGTTCACACACCACACGAGTTACTCGTTTGAGGCTGAGTCGACCTAGGGGAGGCCCAGGAGCGGTTGAGATAATCGTCACCGGTGGTGGCCGTGAGCGGGAATCGAACTCGGGTCGCCGGGTTCGTAGCGCGGCGCGCTAACCACTACACTACAATGCGTTACGCTTCCACGTGCGCGGGTCACATGACAGATTTGACGTCACAGCTCACTTGCCGTGCAAAAATAATCTCTGCATTATTGAGCTCCCCCCAATAAAAAAACACAAAAGTGTATTTTTTTTATAATTTTTCATGGTGTACAGTCTGGAAAGTACCCACATGGCAAATTTCAAGTTTTTTGCATGTCGGGAAGCACGCTAAACATTTTGAACAGATACACATAATCACAACTTTGCCTTTTTTATATATGGAGATAAGATAATTTACAGTTCTTTGTTAATCACTTGATGGATGAAGGCCTGTGTAGGCCATGGAGGTTGTTTACCAAACTTCAGCACGCTGGTCAGTATGAATTGGTCAAGCAAGGGTCCACCTTTAGATATCATTCGCCATGTGATATCTATCTCAGGTCGCCGCATTCAGAGTAGAGTGCGCTCACCACTGCATCGCTATTCACCCTATGGTGTATGTAAACGCATTTTGTCAGTTTTCCTATGAATTAGCAAGTCCAGTATTCCTCTCAGTTTTAAGTGTCCTATAAATTACCATTTAAATTAACGAGCCTTCAAAACAATTACGTGCATTTCGCATTAAAAAAAAAACATACACAAAATCATTCAGATTACGCCTCTTAATAATGCTGGACATCTCAATGCAGCCAAGTGTGAGGAAAGCCACAAGCAGAATGTATATAATTTGTGTCAAAACACACCATTTGAAAATGATTTGTAATGTCCACCAGCACCATTAATACTGCAGTCATTACAGGGATCGCGTAAGCGAAAGCCGCGCACATAAAACAGCATCATTTCGCTTCGACCCACACGCACACCAATTGCAAACGGCGGTCCTGCAATTTTTCAAGGTACAAGTCATAAATACACGTCAACAACACTTCAAATACCGCGGCCTGAGTCATTCGCCTGATGTAATTTCAGGTATGGATGGCTTTTGTTGTAATACGCCGCTGACAGTTATTCTGATGGAGAGATTGCTATAGCGGGATGTAAATTCTAGACACAACCGAAAGCGTCACGCGGCATCCGCAGAGATTGCACGGCTGAACGTCAACGGCACTTGGCATTTGGGCGGGATTCAATACCATAAAGGACGCCAATGTTATGACATGACCAGCAATGTGAATGCACACCGCTAGAAATTGACAGGTAGTTATATATGGACGATGGTATAAAAGAGTTTACTTTAATTAAGGTACACTTATAGCAATCCAAAACGAAATTTAATCTGTGACTTCACTGATTTATTGAACAGATGGGTGGGTTTTGCGAGTCTCCGATGTTAGAGTAATGATCCCATATTTCGAGGTGTGAGGTTCATTTACAGGCCCGAGATGAATGGTTTGAGTTTCCACTGCCCCCTCTGGCTGTAAAATAATCCAACGGGCAGCTCGAATAACATTCAACTTAATGAGTTACACACGAGATCACTGGCATATGAACTCATGCATCGCTGACTATGAGCCCCGATTAACAAGCAGAAATTAACAAACTGCACACAATACAGACTTTAAAAGATTTAGTTTTGGAACAGCCAAGCCAGATATGTGTAGCTGTTCACTGTTAAAGCAAAATGATCAAAATGGTTGCACGTGCACGTATGCGAACACCATCAATGAATGGCACAAATGCAACAAATGGGTTTATATAATACACAACAAGTAAGTATTATTTTAATAACAGATCTTTTTTTTATTAATATATCTCTGTTAGCCACAGACAATGACTACGGCATGGCTTAGAGGAGGGTGGTTCAATGCAGAGGTCATATTGCAGAGGAGGCATTTAATGTCGTCATGCCCAGCACTACTGAAATTGCCCAATAAAAGTGTGCCAGAACCCAGCTGCATGGTTACACATATTTTTTATTCTTCTTCTTTATATTCTATGGTCAATTCACTGCTAGATAAGAGGTGTTCCATTGCTGTTTCAGTCGTGGAGGTTGTTTGATCACACCTCACCACACTGTTCAGTGCAGGTATGTGAAGGTGAGGAGGTGGGGGTATGGGGGTGAGATTGGACTAGTTAAGATATCACGCACCACTGGCGTTAGCAGTGGGCGCGAATCAAACTCAGGTTTGCCCCGGTTTAAAGAACACATTCCTGCGGAGGGAGCTGGTAGGAACGTTGGGTTGATCGGCCAATGGCCAGGGTCAACGGCGGCGTGGTGTATTCCGCAAATATGGCTGACTGTGAGGGCGGGCACAAGCCGGCGTGAGTAGGTTAAACGTTGAGTTTTATAAGGGCACCACGGGGTGACCAGCCCCTCCCCACCCAGCCCCACCCCTCCCACCCCCCACCCAGCCCCACCCTCCCCACCCAGCCCCTCCCCACCCTCCCGAACTCAGCCCCTCCCCACCCTCCCAACCCAGCCCCCCCCTCCCCACCCAGCCCCACCCTGCATGACGGACGGACGGACACAATAATCCCCTGTGGGCTGGTGTAACCTTGATGTTCCTACCAGTAAAATGCAGTGCTCTCACTACTGTGCCACTCCTCCACCCAGTCAATGGCAATTGCAGTACTGTATTTTCAAACCTTTTTAGACGCCAATGCCGCGGTGATGGCATTTGAGAAGTGAACAATGCTGTCGCTACCATTAAAATGCAATCATTTCAGATTGGTGGAATTATGCAACGTTTAAAAAAAAATGTCTGCACAATGCCACCATAGAACATGTGAGATGCTGCCTTGCAGCAATAATTCCACCAGTTGAAAACTATTGTGCTAGGCAATTATATATTTATATATAAAAAGGCAGCATTAATGCCTCACGTGGTCAGTATTCACACACGCATCTTGGCACCCCATAAGTCTATGACCAATCACCCCGAATGGAGTCGAACTTATAAATTCTCTAAAGCTATGCGGAGCTCTGTTAGTACTTGGATAGGTGACTGCCTGGGAATGACAAGAGCAGTGGGCTGCGAGATGGTAGCTCAAGGAGATGGCAGTCCAGCAAAAAGGATTCCTGAATCTTTGCGGCGCTTTTGAGTGTTGCCCCCCCCACCACGCCCCTCCTATGCGTGGGGTTTTTCTCTCGGCCAAAACCTCGCCGGGCAGAGTCATTCTAATTAAGAGTTCGCAGGACTCGGTGACATGTTCCTGGGTGCAGTGAATAAATAAAGGAGCGTAGTTTCGTAGGTCGCGCTCAAGTTAAGAGTAATTTTCTTAGGTGTTTTCGGTAAAGTCACGTAGGTAAAACATCAAAATTAATGAAAATAAAATAAAAATCACGACGTTTCGGAGGCAACACAAGTCTCCGTCATCAGGTGGGACTGTCACAGCCAGATTAGCTGCATTAAGTGAGGCAATGATTCAAGATGTAATCCCTTAAAAGCGAGTTGAGGGGGGAGGAGAGGGGGGGCTCATCAGAATGTGGTAGCCAATGAATGGAACGTATCGGGAGGGAGGGGGGGGCTCAAAAACGGCACGGAGTGCCACGTACAACGCAGACTTGTATTGCCTCCGAAACGTCGTGATTTTTAGTTTATTTTATTTTCATTAATTTTGATGTTTTTACCTACGTGACTTTACCGAAAAAACCTAAGAATATGAATCCTTGCAGTCACGAAAGCTTCAAATCTAGAATTAAGAGTCATCTTAACACGTAGGTCTTCGTGACCGATATCATCCATGAAGAGTGCCGATGACCAAATCACCCGGACAGCATCCGATCTTGTTAAGATCTTGGAAGCCCTCGGAAGCCAAGCAGTTTGAGCCTGGATTTGTGAGTGGGTATGATATCAATGTTTACCCTCTCCAAACACATTCTCATTCAATATAGGCAGCTGAATTGTACGCAAAGTACCGTGTTAAAAGTGTGATAAGTGGGTTCAAGCCACGTTTGTAACTCTGCAGTTGCAGAAATTGGACTCTTTTGGGCAGCTTTCTTTATAAGCAGTTGTTGTGCCCCCACCTATTGTTATTTACCAAATTCCAAGTACTGTAAACGTACTCAGCATTTCTCAGCAGATGGGCATCACAGTGGCTAGGAGATGTTAACTACCTCGCCTGGTATACAAGAGGTCGTGGGTTCGATCCCGACCGTGAGGACTGTATATTTGGAATTTGCGTGTTCTCTCCGTGGTTGTGTGGATTTTTACCCGGGTCCCCCCGTTTTTCTGAAAGAGAACTATATAGCTCATTGGGCCTTACCTGGTGAAATAAAACGAGTTGAGTTTAGATGCATCAGAGTCAAGGAGGGTGCCTCCTAATTATGTTCGTTTGCCAATACTATTCCCCGTGAATGGCTTTATAAACTATTCAACGTTTGAGTGGCAAGATTCATTTACCAGGACCAATTACTTTATTTCAACAACTTGACCAATGGTCCATGGCTTTCATTTTGAAATTAAAAATAGATGTATTCAAGTGAGGTTGGAGAGAGGCTCAAATCAATATGCTAAATCGGAGAGCTGAGAACATAAACAGCAAACATTCGACCAAACAAAAACAAAACTCCACGAGGTATTAGCAGCATCATAACTTGGCTTGCACTGCAATGCATCATCATGATTCGTGGTTGTGATTCAATTAATTTATCCCATTTTAACGGTGCTGTTTGTGATTGTTTGTCAGCTTTTTAACATCTCATTTGTACATTGTAGTGCAATGTATTGGCCTAAATGTAACATTAGCATATATTTTCCACAAATTCTAATACATGTTTTATATGCCCCATTTGAGACGCACATATCACGAATGCTAGAATTTGATTTTAATCAATTCACACGTGCGTCCTCGCATCTCTGATAGTGGGTATGAAATACACTCCACAAACCCAACATCTGTGTGCCGTGCCATTGACGTGACTATGGTGGCTTTGAAATGCATGAGCTTTGACGCTGGCGGAGAGATGTGTGGACAAAGATGCGGATAGCGGCAAAGCTGTGAGTAAAATTACCGCCCTCTCTCTCAGAACTAGACGTCCATGACACAGTCCTGGCATGGAATGGGAGGCCAGGTGACGTGAGGTGGTGTGGTGCAGTGTGGTGCGGTGCGGTGCGGTACGTACGAGCCGTCCTGTCGGGTGAGCGTGTAACCGTGCTGTGGGACATTAAGGAAGGTGATGTTCACGCCAACGAGAGGAAATCCCTCCGAGGTCTGCACCACTCCCCGTACCACGACGGCACTCCTGCAAACAACACATCAATGGCGGATGGGTGACGGGTTTTTTTTTCCTTTTATTTTCTTTCCTCAAACTACAATTTGTTTAGGTTTCACAGTTTTTGTGTTTTCGAAAGAAGGCAAAAAGGCTGAAGGGGACAGGCGGCTGCACAGAAATAAGTCAACAAGTCAAGACGCAGTATAGCTCCGAAAGCCAAGGAGCATCAACAAATAAAAGAAAGAGGTTGTTTTTCTTCCCCTCTGCAGAATGGGAAGGGGCACGGGGAGGGGGGTGGATTCATTGATGGAAAGCAACAGACATCGGTGCTGCAGGGAGTTTAAATGCCCGAGTGCATTTGCAATGATTCAATCACAGATGCATTACTACTATTTTCCGAATTCATTACTCCAAAACACACAGAGCTAAGTACAAGATGTATATTTAAACTAATTATGGATTGTTAAATTGTTTTTGAATTAATAAATATACAATGTATGCAATATATTTACGTGTTTCTAATGAAGAACAAGACGTTGGCATCATACAAACAAACTGTTCGAGGTGAGCATGACACGTTATTAAGCAAATATGCAATGCCAACAGTACAAGATTATATTAATTGCTGAACTTTCAAGACAAATTAACACTTTATTACATCAGCTTTCATGTGTTCTGTCAAGGCAATTTGTTTGGAGAAAATAAATGAGAAACAATTTACAAATACTCCAAGAAACAAGACGTGTTTTTTTCTTTCTTTCAGGGGCGCCTGTGTATTGTAAAGCCAAACCTCGATTTTAATTTCCCGTGATGTAATTCGATACAGAGTAGGCTATGTGTGCCGATGACACGGGACGATTTGTTTCCAAAATTAACTGGGAAAAACCACATCAAAGCATTGCTCACCAATCTGTAGACCAATACGAATTTGCAGATCAGTAGTGGCATTCTACTTTTGACTCATAGGGTTACAAAGGCATTTTCCACATGAGATTGTGGGGCGAGGGTGCGGGGGAGGGGGTGTTTGTGATGTTATCCCATATTTATGCAATCCAACCCATAAACCTTTACTATGACTAATATTGGTCAAGAAACCTTACACGTTACATTTATGTGACCGTCGCAGGGCAAAAAAAGTGCCCTGCGGCAGATCTCTCACCGGCCGAGGAACGGGTTCCCGCCGGGGATGAGATGCGTTGTGCCCAGCAGGAAGCGCATGCGCTCATAGAAGGTAGCTGCGGGCCCAGGCGGTGGCCGGCTCAGAGAGGCCATGGGAGGCTCAGGGAGGAGGGCCCTTGGGTCTGGGGACCCCTGGCACAAGCTGTGAGCCTGGCATGCCGGGAGGCCACAGCAATCCGGGTCGACGCAATCCGCCAGGCCATCTAAGAAAGCGGGAATTCATTGTTTTACCACACTTAAAGCAGAACACGTAACTTTCAATGCACATACACGCAGAAACAGAGATCGTCCAATTTCGATTTAAAGCTTTCGTGACTGCAGGGATTCATCTTCTTGGTTCTTTCGGTAAAGTCACGTAGAAGGGAAGTAATAAAATAATAAAAATAAAACAATAAAATAAAATAATATTATATTATATTATTATATTATTTTATTTTAATAAAATAAAATAATATTATATTATATTATTATTTTATTATGTTTTATGTTTATTATTTTATTACTTCCCTTCTACGTGACTTTACCGAAAGAACCAAGAAGAGAGATCCTCCATATAGAGTTAGAGATTGTTGGGATAAGTGCTGTTAGCAAGCACCTACTAAAGCGAGAATGGCAAATGAATAGGTGGTGTGGCCACCAACATGCCTGGCTGTCTTCGTCTTCCAAATGCTGATGCTTACACACAGCACAAGTACTGCACTACATTAAGGCTCAGTCGACTTAGACAAACTCAAGAGGAGTTTAGATACTATTTGCCACTGTGCCATGGGTTTGGAATGTAACTCATGTTGCTGGTGTCCTCGTGCAGTGAGCAAATTAATGTATCACCCCCCATGTAGTGGAGCGAGAGAGTAGTGTGTGAACACCCAGCATTGGCAGGACATGGTGGGGGCCACGCCACCTTTGAATTTGCTGTGATGGCCTGAACAGGAGCTTTTGCATAGAGAATTTTCCCCAATAGCCTTCGTGGCTATCTGAAAATGTTTTGCCTTTTCCACACAGACAAAACAACACCAACAACACTTTCTAACACTTCCGAATGGTCTAAATAAATAAGCACATATTGGAAGCATGCGGACACTTACATACATATTCTCATTATATTGAAATTTGGTAAAACTTGAGTATTATTTTACCTATGGGAGCCGATGCATGTCATGTCTGTCGTGCTCTGGCTGTTCAGGGAATGCAAATCAACAATGTACTCTCCTGCGTTTCCTGTAACTCAGGGACTTTATATTGAAGGCTACTTACATCTTGGCATTTGGCAGGCAAAACTCAAGCACAGTGCTTACATCCCTCAAGTAATTCAGACACCAGGCTTCAAGACTCAAAATATGATGCAGAGTAGAAAATAATTGTCGGATATTTTTTTTTAAACATGAAATGTGTGGTGAGACCCTGTGGTTAATTTCAGCATTTTTTGTTGATTGAAATGTATGTACGCGTGCGTCTGCTGACGTAAATAAATTGAGCACGATGAAAATCACACCCAAACGCCATGAATCCCAGCCGCAAACATAGAGGATTTCTACGGAGTCCTCTCGCACTCTCTTATAAAGAAACAATTTAATCCGCTGATGGAACGTGCTATAGCTCGTGTCGCGATGAATGTGCGTTGAGTGAAACGTTGCCCAACTTGTACGTTTCTCCGCATCATTTGAATTCTCTGTTACTTCGTTTTTCTTCTAAATGACGCAGAAACACAAAATAAAGTAAATAACGCCTGGCAGTTTCATACGCCGAGAGCCCCCAGGCCACGGTTGTACCATATTAATTGATATCACTGGAGGGCAGCAGTGGCCAAGAAAAAAGCTGCAAGGGTCACAGGCCCATCACCTTTTACTGTCTCTAAGATTTATTTAATTTAGGTATAGAACATGGCTCAGGGGGTGCTGATAAGGATATAAAATACCGAACACTGCGTCTAACATGAAATACACCAGGAACGGCGTCTTAACGACTTTAATGGGTTGTTGAAAAATGAACGTAAAAATGGGTATAACGTGATAGGAAAGACATATTAACCAGTGCCGTGCTGCATACGCTTGGTAGGAAGGACAGCCAATTTTTACATTGGAAATACTTTGAAAAATCTGCAGAAATATTGCAAAAAAAAAAAATCCAATATTTATGCGACTAATAAAAAAAAGCCTGAAATTTCTAGAAATTGCCACCAACTCCCTATGGAATCTGGGCTCTACTCCTTCAAGGAGTCCACTTTGCTCGTGACGCTCAGTAAAGCCTCTTACTGAGGCCACAATATACTACCGCTGTCCACCCTTGCAGTTTTAAGCTCTTAAATATTGAATGCACAGTAAAACCTGCAATAAAAGCACTTTTATATAGCAACCACCTGGCTGTAATGGTCAACGAGTCTTGGAATTTTACACCTTAGACTCACTCTCTGCATATATGCTCTTACAGTACCTCTGATCTTGCAACCGCCTGGCTATAGCAGCAAGTGAATCCTGCAACTTTGCAATTGAGACTCGCTCTCGGTCTGATGTCATGGGGTAAAAGCATATGAACAGTATCTTCAGATAGGTTGGTACGTCTGACATGAGACTCGGGATGACTTTTCAAGTTTGAAATCGTGACACGTTGTAAACCACGTTTTCCACAAATATGATAATATAAAGTTACTATTAAAATGTGTTACCAATTCAGCTGCACATTTAGTCAATCGGCAGGTTGCGTGCGATGGTGTAAAGAGTGGATACTCCCACCGCTTACAAGAAGATGACTGACCAGTGTTGAAGAGTAGGCCAAGCACCCTCGAGAGGGGCCTTCTAGAGCTACCTCCAGTTGAGGCCATTCCAGCAGCAGAGTAGTGAGCAATAAATTACATGGTTGCACCCTTTTCAATTTACAAATATTACTATGTTTATTATGCTTTAAAGGTGAAATTATAGATTCAGGAGACTCTTTAATATCGCGGGGATTACATTCTTGGGAAATGTCGTGAAAGCCACAACCGCAATATTCAAAACTTATTCCTTAACTTAATAATGAGGTTAGGTACACAGCAACCAAAAATAAACACAATAAAAATAAGTACTGTATGGCAAATAAACTAAAAACAATAATTGAAATAAACGTAAAAACCCAATACAAAAAAACATTCTTAGACAATAAATCGTAGCATAAATACTACGAGTGGGAAGTGGTAGTGCTACGGTTAGCGTGCTGCACTACACACCCGAGTTCGATTTCCACTCACGCCTAACACCAGTGACGATTATCTGAACCGGTCCTGGGCCTCCCCTATGTCGACTCAGCATTAAATGATTACTTCGTGCTATGCGTCAATGTTGCCACTGGAGAGACAAAGGCGGCCAGGCTTGGTGCTCGCCACCCACCCCCTTGTGTGTGTGCCGTTCCGGCCTTGCTAACAGCGCTTGCCCCAACGGTGTGTTACTAGGCTGTAGGGGCATTTTTGCCTGTGTCCGCGAGATGCCTGCACGACAAAGGTTGAGGTGCCACTGCCTCGCGTCCCTCGCCCAACCCGCCCTGCACCACGGTACCAGCCAATGATCGGTACTACCGTGCACAGTATGCCAGTGAAAGGCCAAAACTAACGCCCGCGGATAGCTACATTGGTACACAAAGAGGTTGCCCGTCATAGGACAAAACTGTGAACGATAAACCCGCGATAATCAAGGGACTCCCGTACATACACACATATATGAAAACACACTAAACAACACAAGCTTGAAATGAGGCCTGTCACATTGCAAGATTTTACTAAACAAAACCTGCCTAGGATTTTCCTTTGGTGAGCAATATCTAGCCTCTACGTGATCTCAACGAGCCTCATTTGTGCGCAACTACAAGCCGTATTTCAGCATGTTTGTGGCATCACAAGGCAAAGATGGAAACATCTATTGGCTTCATATCTGTGAGCATGGGTCTATTTCATACAGGGGGTGGACCCTTGCCAGCCATCACAATGCAAGAGAGCATGACAATTTTACACCAGCGCATTGGCGTTTAATCTCATTACTTCGCGAGCAAAAGGGTTGACAATTCCAGGAGCACGAGCATGCCAATTATGTAAAATCGGCACGCCTATTGTGCAGCCATGCTGCTAAGCCTACGGCACATTCGGTGTAACCTCCGGCGTAGAATGCGGGCTATGAAGGCGGAGATCCTGACCGTAAAGCTGGTGGTGAGTGTGTGTCGCAAAAATATACTTCACACTGAGTAAACTGCGGAGGTGACCTCTGACCCCGGACGGCACATTACTCTGACACGAGGGTCACAAGGGTTGATGTACTTCAGCGGTTAAAACAAACGGCTGTGCACAGACGGTGCCAAAAAGAAAATCCTTATACCACGTGCATGTTCGCCACGATCTGCCGGCTAACTTCATGTGAGGGGGTGTCACCTTCAAGTGACCTTCTGCACATGCTATATGTACATTATACACAACAACCACATACAAAAATACATGTACATGTTTAACAGTTTGTTGATTTTGTATAGCTTTTAATACATTCCTTGAGGCAAAATTGCCACTTAAAAAACACTTAGCATGAAGATAATAAACATGGCATTGCTTTGATGGACCATTGAAATGGATACTTGTGTATTAAGATCGGTTGCCAGTTAAAATCTCTACCTTTTGTTGTTAAGTTTTAGAGATGAACAGAAAGCAAACACAAATTAGTCTAAAACGTTTCAAAAATCCTTAATGGGGACTATGACTTGTGGAAAAAGTAGGCAAGGCATTAATAAACACACATATGAGGCAGTGATGACATTAAGCAGTGGCGAAGTGATACGCCGCTGTCAGATAAAGGGCAAATCCCGGATTTTGTTCAAGGAGGGTTAGGAGGATTTGGAGATGAGGCAATGGCAGTGGGAGTCACAGGGAATGGGGACATCACGTCTAAACAGGTTACAGAATCGGACAGCTGCAGTGCCTGAAACTCCAATCGGGAGGCAGCATGGGGTGGCACAACAGTGCCAAATAAAAGGGTGGAACGAATGCAAAACCTTTAAGACCTCTCAAAAGCTGTGCCTGCAGATCTCACCATCCCATTCAATTCACTCACATTAATTTCAGTGCACCTGGTGCGCTGGCCAGACCACAATTATTTTGCGGAAAATCCATGCGGACAGGGACAACCAAGGCCACACTTTCCCTTCACGATGGCAGTCACTGGGTGTGCACATTGGTTTGACCCATCCGTGCACCCTGCCCCCTGATCTACGATCCGGCATCGGGATGGCCGTCTGGCTGGCTCACCTCCGTCATTATCCTCTCCGTCCCCGCAGTTGGTCTCCATGGAGGTGTCACAGCCCGGTCCTCTCCAGCCAGGCACGCAGACGCACAGCCAGCTGCCCTGCGCCAGCCGGCACTCTCCGTTACCGCTGCACATTGCCGGGCAACCTTCTGCAAAACAAAACAACAAGGCGCACAAGAGACGTTGGAAGGTGGCCAGGTGGCTCAGAGGTCAGAGTGCTGAGCTGGCACTGCTGAGATCCTGGGTTTAAATCAGGGCAGCCGTATGTGATTAAATTAGGTTATCAAGTGTTTTGAGTTTCAGGTTTCAAGCCTGGTCCAAGATGACCGCACTAAAAAAATCCATCATAGATTATCGTGCTTTATAATTAAATTTGTGTAAATTCCAACATGAGAATTAATATATTGGTTTGACTGTCATGTGACGTACACTACTCAGGGCAAGTGGGAATGTGCTGCCACCTTAAAGGGATCTCAGAAGTAGTTCTCTGATATGTGCTTCCGTGGAACATCCTCTAACATGGGAAGGTTGCACTGCCCTGTGAGACATACAATTAAACACTCTGTCGCACGATATCACACCAAGAGCACAATTGGGATAAAATAGGAGATACATACGAATAATAACGTACAATAAAAAAGATACCACAATTTAAATCTGGAGAATATTTTTTGGGAAACAGTTGAAGACATGTCAAATACATCCATGCACCTAATCGGCAACAGGGTGCATTGATGGGAGCATCACAGATGTGGCAGACCGGGTTTAGAGACTGCAGTCCACCTGCCACAAACTAGCTTACATTTTGTGCCAATCGACAGATGCACTACCCAATGGCATGTACACAATGTGTAGGACACAGGCAAGAAATCCACTCAACTGAGAGCCAGGGCTAATCGATACAAGTGCACAAATTGGATTTACTTTGTTATTGTTTATTTTGACCAAGCAAAATCATTCTTGTGCGTTTGTTAATTCGTGTTTGGCGTGCAGATTTACTTCTAATATTTCCATCATCCTGCTCCCCTGCCCCCTCAAAAAAAAATCTCTGACATTTCGATAAATATATGTTTGATAAAAACTTTCATACAGCCACTGCTAATCACCATGTTAACATTTAGCAGACAAATGAGACCCACACACTGGCTGTCTGACAATTTCTGGTGGACAATCAAGACATCTGAAGGTCCAACATTTTAATTCAACTTTCCCGTCATTCGAGTTCATAATCAGCTCTTTGGCACGACCATGAAAAATGTTCCACATGTGCGGCATTAACCTAAATTGTCCATGCACTATTCTTTCTATTTAGATTTTTTTTAACTACATGAAATGAATTACCTTTAGGGAACGGTCATTAGCAACAAAGGCCATTAACGGAGAAAATTGTATGTAACGTGATGGATAACACACTTAAGGTGTACGGCCAGATAGACAAATCATTTTTGATAAGAAAAAGCTTGGAGAGTAATCTGTTGTTCCACAAAGCAGTGATAGCATCAATGATGATGCATTACCATGGGACCTTGGTACGTATTAAAGTCTTTGATTGGTGCAGGGGAGTGGGTTGAGTGGGATGATGGGATGATGATGATGATGATAATGGAGCAAGAGGGAGTAGAACGCGATGAAATGCGATGTCTTACGCAAACCGTAAGTGATCTTGTGAAAGTACAGTATCTAATTGTGCATCAAATGTATCTCATCACAAAAGAGGGATAAGGACAATGATGATTGTTCTCTGACTCTCTCTCTCTCTCTCTTTTTCTCTCGCTTTGCACCATTATGTCGAGAGTGAATGTAAATAAAGCGTACAGGAGAGAGAAAGGTGTCACCACGTTCGTGCTTCACACTCAGGAAAATCGGCTTATTAGGGCTCAAACTGCCTAAGTCCAAACTGTTGATCAATATTACGAGCGCACCTCCATAAGCACACTGACACGTACATAAAGATAAAGATCCCTACCACCCCCCCCCCCCATAATAATTCAGTATTTTTGGGAGTCGTGTTGTGAGATAGCAGATCAAGGCTGGAATTATACACGAGTGTTTAGTGTGGCCAGCTCCACGCTAATCCGCCTTTGTCTCCCACTGCTGATGTTTCTATATTGCAGCAAGTGCTCATTTACGGACGAGTAGACCTAGGGGAGAGCCCAGGACCGGTTCGGATATTACTTGCCACCGATGTAAGATGTGGCTGCGAATCGAACTCAGATCGGCGAGTTGGTAGCGCAATGCGCTAAGCACTTTGCCACTGCACGCCCTTGACAGGTACACACAGACACAACTAATTCTAAACGCCATTCGCCAGTAAGTGGCGGTGACGACACCACGGTGTTTGTGTGCCAGGCTAGATGCATTTGAGGTCACGTGAAGTGTCGACAGACACACGTGTGCACACAAACAAACATGCACGGCTGTTTGGATGGTGCAGAGGTTCAAACGTGAGCAATTTAGATAATACGGCTGCCACTGTAATGCAATAGCAAAAGCTGACAGCGTGGATCAATGCACTCAGGCAGAAACTGAGCCTAAATAGGATCGCAACTAACTTTTATAATGTGTAATGTAATCTTGGCTAACTCGGGGCCTCCAGGGCCCACTTAATGGCATTAAGTATATAAATAACTGTGGCTAATAAACACTAACACGCATAAGCTTGTTCTCACTGAAGGCATTAATGCATTGTCTCAGACGTCACCTACACTGAAATGCTTTTGGACAATTTCGGAAAATTAATTAAGACCCGGTGCTTGCATGATAATGCCGAATATTGTAAGGCTGCACATTGCTTAACAGCTGCCAGGAACAAAGGCGGGAAACCGACGATGTCGTAATTTTATTCCTACCCAGTTTCCAGGGGGTTGCAGGTGAAAGGGTTTTGGAAGCAGATGGCATGTCTACCTGGGGAGTGGTCCTGCCTGTAAATCCTGATGAGGCCGCACGAATATCCGCCCGTTAATACAACACTTCAAGGTAAAGTCTTACAGAGACAAATTAAAAATAGCACCTTTGCAGCCGAAAATACCATGGATTGAGGCATCCAAAGACCACGAGGGATGGCGGATGGCATTGGGAGGATGTCATTCAGCAGGGGATTGACCATAACGTCTGACACCTATGATATTTCAGGTATTGATACGTGTTTAAGTGAATGAATTGTACGCTTACAATGTACTGCAATTATGCATAAATATATCAATGTGAGGATGCGGACGTAGTTACATGTATGTACGTCGAACTTCTACGCACCGTATGTAGCCAACTGCGCTAATCGGAGGGGCGGAGAAAGGACAACAAACTAAATACATAAAAAGCAATTCAAAATAAATGAGTTTTAAATCTAGATTTAAAAAGTGCATAGCTCCCAGTGGTTTTCTAGTGATTGCCACTAGGGGTCGGCACGGTTTGAACCGACTCAAACTGGTTTCAAATTGAGCAAACCAAACGAAACCAAACCAGCGACGACTGAACCAAACCAAACCAAAACCAAACCAAACTAAGCTAAACCAAACCTCTTGAGTTGGCTTAAACCGAAAAGATGCGCGGCAAACAATATTCGCATTCAATACAAATATCAAGTGTATTAATCGCTAATTTCTACGCAGGCTTTCTTCATATTGAGATTCACTAGCAAGTACTGGACGACGATGTCGTCCACAGCCATCTCCTCAAGCTTGGCACGCCCAATGTCCTTGAACGCAGTGTGGTAGTTCAATGGCAGTGAAACCCCAACACTAGGCAACATCCGCGCCCACGAGCGCACACACATCTCGGCCTTGAACGTGCACTTGTGCAGGTTTGGTCGGTCGAGAAAGGAGCGCTTGGCGGCCGAGTTTGCTGTCTCGGAGGGCACGGACGACGCCGGGATAGGCAAATAGTCGAGGGCCATGCGTCGTAGGCGCGGGTACTTGCCGCCGTACAGCTTCCACCACTCGACGACGTCCATGCTCAGGTCCTGAGTCGGCTCAAGCAGGAAGCGGTCGACCTCGGAGGCGGCGCCGTCGTGAGCGTTGGGCGCGTAGACCATGTCAAAGAGGATGTTAATGCCGCCACGCGGCGCCGCCTTCGGCGCCGCGTCCGTCGTCAACGCTGGGTAGCGCTGGTTGAGAATGTCCGTCATCATGTCCTTGATATTGCTGTACTCGGCCTTTACAACCAACCAAACTAGTTTGAGCCGGTTCCACCCTGTCCGAGCCAAACCCAGTCGGTTTTCGTAGCCCCAAACCAAACCGAACCAGTTTAAACAGAGCCAAACCAAACCGATTTGGTTCGGTTCAAACCGCGGTTTGGTGGTTTGAGCCAAACCGTGCCGACCCCTAATTGCCACATTGGACTCTCAATACCGAGGTCAACGGTTTGATCTCTCAGTGTGCCAGCTGAAGCAATGGGCAAGTTGATTAAAATCCTCCCCTCGTCTGTCCACCCAGCTGTAATCTCAACAAAATCAAATTATTTAGGATTATACGGCGGCGTTATTAACGCAAACTGCATCTCAACATCGCTAAGGAACCACAGACAATCTGGAAGGCTGCCAGGCGGTGAGCTGGCGCCAACAACTGCTCTGCAGTTCTCTGTAAATTCAGATTTTTTTTCCAGCCAATTAGTGACTGTTCACACATCTTCTTGGTTCTTTCGGTAAAGTCACGTAGAAGGGAAATAACAAAATAATAAAAGGAAAGCACAAAGTTATTATTTTATTATTTTAATATTAATTGTATTATTTTTTTATTTCCCTTCTACGTGACTTTACCGAAAGAACCAAGAAGATGAATCCCTGCAGTCACGAAAGCTTTAAATCGACGTTTACACATGTGTAAGGAAACCGGAGCACCCGGAGAAAACCCTTGCAACACTCGATCCCATGGAAAAGGGACAGATTATGTCAGTCCACACTTTTCTGCAACTGTATTCTGCTGGCATGTCAGGATATTGCACCTCAATCCCCGTGGGAAGGGAGTTTTGCATTATTTTGTCATTTGCAAGGTGATCCTCCAGCCATCGCTGCCACCACAGTGCTGGATTACAGGCGTGCCCCACCACTGCCCTACATTCACCAGTATACAAACGTAACGTGGAAGAGTAGGCCAAAGATTCCCTCTAGAAGGGGCTCTCAAGAGCTCCATCCAAGTAGAGGTCCTTCTGCAAGCAGCAGCATGAACAAGCAATTGCAGGGCTCCGCCTTTACCGTTTTTCTTTGACAGCAATTGGCTGTAACTTTACGTGAAATCAAAGGCTCTGTATCAACGTCGGAGAAAACGCTAAGCAATGCATTCTGCAGCTTCAGCGAGGCAAAGCACAAAAGCATTGCTCACCGAGACCAAGTTAGCTGTAATGTTTATAACGGTTAATGCCTGTTTTATGGATTCATAATGGTGCTTTTACCGTATCTTTACGTGCTAAACAATCAGGTGGAATTGTTATGCTTTTTATTGATCTTGTGGCCATTTATTTAAGTTAATTAGTTTTGGTTTGGATGTGATCGATCTAACATAATCAGCGTGATCAGATCTCCGTTCCGATCACGCACGACGCTGTTTGCGTCCATCCGAACTGACACCCTCGTTAGGCCGAAAATCAGGTGAATTTCAATTCCAAACTGGTGGCACACCCCTAGTAATTGTGAATGTATGAAACATTATAAATATTCTGTATTTACAATAATTATGATTACTGTAAAACATATACAATAATAATCCGAAACAATAATTCTTATTCTTATTTTACTGTGGGTCATATAACACAAATTTAACATTCATACACTACACATATAATCATGATCATCATCAACCACCGCTGGATGACGGCATCCCCAAACCATCACTATCCCCAACAGTCAAACAATGCGACAATCCATCTCCCTTCTGCACACAATATTGCTCCATCACAATGATGGGCATCTCCTCTGTAGCATTCCCTCCTTCGGCTGCCACTCCATCATTAGTGTAATAAAAGGACTCGAACACTTCTTTCTGTCTTCGTGTCTTTATTCAGGTTCACGTCTTTACCCACACGGCACTCTGTTATAACTCCTGTATTTGTAGCCCCCGGCTATTCACTGCTATTATAGCTTCCTCACCCCTCTGACTCTCTGCTTCATCTACTGTAACCTCCTCCCTGCAGACTTGCTGCTACCCCTATGTGCAGACCCTCTGGCTGTCACTGTATGCAGACCCGCTGCCCACTCTCTCTGTGCAGCCCCGCTGCTGACTGCAGCCTCCTCGCTGCTTCGGGTCGGTCACCGCTGGCCAACGGTGCCGATCCTCGCTCCCCCCGTGTTCGTGGCGATCTCGCCACACCCCGCTTCGCCCTTCGTGGCCTTCCTCTGTTCCTGGTTCCCCGTCACTCCCCCTGCTCTTCCGGTTCCCCTCCTTCTATACTCAACCCCTCTCCCCCCCACGTGACCTAACTCCTCCCCCCCTGACGGCACCTCAGAAGGGCCGTTTACAACCGCATTACATTAGTATCAACCAGTGATCATAATTCCTTCCAGCGATGTGGCCTGTCCAAGCCCACTAGTCTCCCTTTAGTCAACATGATGTCTCTAACTTGCATTTGTTTCCCGATGTACGCATTCATCGTCGTGTTTCTTGGTGCAATGAGATGGTAAATCGCACAGTGGCAAGATGTTAACTCCCTCGCTTGGTATGCAGGAGTTCGTGGGTTCAATCCCAACCCTGGTGCCTGCTGTATATTTGGAGTTTGCATGTTCTCCCCATGGTCGCGTGCATTTTACTCCGAGTCCTCCGGCTTTCACCTCCACATTTAGAATCAATGTCACGCTATAATATTTGGTTTGCTATACATTTCCACATAATAAGCCATTTCTTCGAGCTATCATATGTGGCCAGGTCGCTCCTGGTTAAATTAAAAAGAGTTTAGTTTTAGTTTACACATGAGAGAGCCGGTGGCCCCTTTGTCAGAGGGCACAACAACTGCAGCAGCGTTTTTTTTACCAAACGCATGAATTTTTCTCCGGGTCCTGCGATTTTTACAAATACGCATTTGGAATATTTAGGTACTATGAATGTCTACATAAGCCACTCAATCGAGCTATCATTTGTAGCCATGTCACTATATAGCTCGGCGAGCTTTACCTGGTCAAATAAAAATAGTTGGATCGTTTAGTTTAGAAAAGCACCAGACCAACATACCGAATGATAAAAGTTTGTATCCAGTATTCATAACTTGCGATGACACATGGACTAGAATACTGATACATAAATTTGAACAAAAGGTGAAGAGTGCACAAATAAACGTGGAGGCGCATACTGGGACGTACACCAATAGGCCAAAGGTGGAGCACATGCACATATTATAATGGACTATTTTTTCCATGCAGGTCAGCACGTGTTTCAAAGCCTTGTGTGGAGGTTAGCTGCCGTTGAAAAACATACATTGGCAGGAATATGTTCTCTCCTCCAGCTGAGTCGAGCAGGTAAGAGGTCTCGAACCTCGAATAAGAGCCAAAATAAATGGCACCTGAATTTTTGGACTCGCCAATCTATATTCTATCCCAGGCCAGGGGGCACTGGGGATGGAGGTGCAGTGAACTTGCCACTGACCTCGTTGCAACACTACCCTTGAGGAAGCACTCAAAAACTAAATAGTTCCCGCTCGCGTAATCCATTTGTTTTTGTTTTAGAGGCGCGCACAAATTTCGACTTGTGAAAACTTGGGCGACCTTTGTTCCGTCCATATTTGAGATTCCACGGAGCCCGAGTCGCGAATGAGAACACAGCAAAAAAAATAAAAAAAACCCAGAAAGCCTCACCGACAGAGCAGTGCTCCCCATTCCAGCCCTGGTTGCACTCGCACTTCCCGTCCCGGCAGGCGCCATGCTCGGCGCAGTGGCGGTGGCAGGCCTTCTGGTCGCACGTCTCGCCACCCCAGCCTTCTTGGCAGTGGCAGCTCCCGCCGATGCACACGCCATGGGCACCGCAGTCCACGGGGCACAGCTCTGAAAAAAGAAGACGGGGGAAGACACAGAGCGCCGCGCGAGGGTCACACACACGGGTGAGTCGCGTGTGCAGAATAGGTAGAAGGTGCAGCCCTGCAATTGTTTGCCTGGAAGAGGATTTGAAATTGCGAAAGAATTACGCAGCGAGCGCCATAGCCATTTCATCACCTACCTATATTAAACAAAAAAAAAACCTGTACTATTAATACAGAAAAGGATAAAGGTGCAGCTCTGGTCATGCTGAAGGGCCTCCACGAAACGTCTTAGCTGAGGTGTGAGTACCACAATTTACCCCACCACACGCAACCTGCTGATGGACTGTGGTATGCCCAATTATTCTGCTGGGTGAACAAAAGATAGTGGGGATTTAAGAATCATTTCAACCGTTTCAACTGCCTAACGGGGATTATTGAATCGAAATGGCAATCTCTGGATTGCAAGTCCAGTGCGCTTAACATTTACACAACAGCAGCATTCCCCAGCGCGCGAAAAGACTATCCAAAGTTCGCCGCCATTTAGGCCAGACTATGCCACAAGGGGATGATGTGACGTGAATCTTTGTGCCTGCAGCACTGACAGGGAGGATATGAATTCATCATTTAAATTCAAGCACAACCTGAGGGCAGCAGATATTCACAAAAGAGGTGAGCAATCCCATGGCTTTACCCTCCAACACTGTAGGGCAAGCACTGCTCGTATGCATTTATTTAGTGGCTGGCAGGCAGTGGGTGGTATCTCCAGGCACTGGGCCATCTTTATCACCTGCCCCCATGCTATAAATATAGGGGGCTCTTGTTCATATAAGGTCACTTTGATCTAAGAGAGGGCCTCACTACGTTACAGTTGTAAATCTCACTCTTGGAGGGTGCGCTTAACGTCCAACAAGTCAGCGCGTACACATAAATAATTCTAATAATAATAAAAAAACTTATTTTAATTTGCAACTCGATGATAGAGTGTTCGGTATGTTTTACACTGAGACAATTGTAATGGGTTTGGTAATATCAGTTCTGCTGTCCACATAACGTTGCTCCGCATGAGCCAAAATGTAGAAGAAATGAACCAAACAAACATTGAAACACAATTCACGAAAAAAACGTAGGCTGTTCAGCGCTAAATTGGTGATCTAAAGTTATACAAAAAAATACCCGTAATTAGTTTGTAAATCAAACTATTATTGTGTTGCGGCTGAGGATCCTTGCTAATTAGAATAAACACCCCTGTGGAATTATGTAAGAAATAAATAATATACACATTTAGCACTCCGAAATGTTTAGAGGAATGCATGTGATTCTAAAGTCATGTAGAGGACACTCTTTAGCTAGCCCAGAGGAACATAGCAAATGCCTTATCTCACCACATCAGTAAGCAGGACAAGACACAAAATGTAATGTTAATCGTTACTGTAGGTCTGCATGTGTTTGAATAACTCTGATGATATCTAATATGCATACTTTGGGGTTTAACAACATTTGCATGCATGGCAAACGATAAACAATTCATGCAAGTCCAAAGATATTCATGGTCGGTGAAAGCACATTCCAATTTCACAGGAATCTCATAAACCTGACAAGAGCATGTTTAGATTTTCACATGCTTTGATATGCATATCAAGGTGATCAATATTTGCCAAACCACCTTCGAGAATGATCTCATCAGAATCTAAGCATAACGAATTAAGCCTCATCACTACCTTGATGGGTACACACCACCGAGCAATGAGGGAGAAAATAGACTTGATTGCTTCGTAGGACAGGGTGCCGCCATGTCCCCAGCATAGACTAAGGGGTCACTGTTGTGTAGGAGGTACTGTCATTCAAATGAGAAACTAAATGGAAATCCCTTCCACTCTGTGGACACTAAAGATCCCTCGGCACTCTTTGATAAGAGCAGAGATGTCAGCTCTGGTGTCCGTGGTAAAATTCCACTGTATGCCAATAAAATCCCTGGTCTGGCCAAAATTCCCATAACTGGCTAATTCGTTAACATTAAATCAGTCCTTGCGAGTCCGAGACACCCATGCAAAAATCATGTGCAAGGCATGTTTGTGCATTTGTGAGCAGATATATATTTTTTATCGGAAATATCTTCAACAATTAATTAAAGCTAATACTTGAATCACCAATTCAATTGAGGTCAAAGTTACTTTGGCTAATGGTCCTGTTTAAATTTTAAACACTACCCGTTCATCTTCAGGGCTGAAAATTCAAGATTGATTCGATCACAGTTGTGATGAAAATAATTCAAGAAAAATATAATTTTCCAATTCTCTGTGGTAGCATAGGAATTGTGAGTCATAACGTGAAAAAAATTCGCCCGCAATTTAGTACATAGTTAAAACTAAATGTGCTTTATAATGCACATTTGGGTATTCACCTATAACATATGCCGTTAAAACAAAAAACGGGGAGCCAAATGGAATGGTTTAATGTGGGTTCCATCAGTAGAGACCACAATGTGATAGCACAGTTGTCAAAGGCGAGGGAAACGAACACAAAGCTCTGAATGGAAAACTAATTTATGTTTTCTATTACAAGTGTGAAACCCATGAACTGGTGATCACACTCTTCAGCCCTATTGCTTTTGCAAAGAGAAATGTGGCACATTCTGCTCTGCCATGCCTGTGCTGCCACGGCCTGCATCGCACATCACAGGTAGCAAGCGGAACGTTAACCCTTTTCGTAACAAGCCACCGTCGAATAAGAAGTGTGCGTCGAGTCTTCACACTGTCACTTCATACGGACTTTTTAAGTTCTCTTTCTTATTTTTTTTTACTCCTGAGTAGAGCAGAAAAGGTGGCAAAAAAAAGGATGCGGGACTGCGATTTTTTTTGGATCACGCCGCTGACGGAAAAAAATGCCTCCCACTTGAGAGAGCTCTACAAGAGCCCCGCCGGAGAGTATTTATTAAATCCTTTATATTAAGTTCACTCGCTTGCTTGCTTGCGCGCTTACGACCGTGCAAATCTTTCGGTCGTTTTTTAACCCACTTCCCGTGATCCAATCGAGCTGACATTTTGCACACAGACTCGTTGTGCGTGACCATTTATTTTCGTGAAAACATTTTTCCAAAATTTTACACTTTTTAGGAAAAAATTAATTATATTTAATTACCAATTGCTTAATGGTGGCAGGCAATCATCTGACCCATAGGTGGCAGCCATCTCAAGCCAGAGGACGAGAGGACTCTAGCCGCCACGCATATAAAGGATTTATAGTGAAAAACTTTGTTTTTACGGGTTAATTTTTTTGCTTTGGCCTCGTCTTCCACAGTGTCCAGACATCTTAGATCGGAGTACCCACACTTTACCCCACCGCACACGATCTGCCAATCGACTGTGGTGTACACATGTATGCTCCTGGCAGGGCAGAGGGTGGCGTTGGGGGGAGGGGTTAAAATTGGTACAAAAAAAACCTTCCCAATGTTTCAACTGCTACAGCGGGAGGTCGAACCGGTGACCTTTGTATTGCGAGCCCAACGTGCTGACCTTTACACCATGGCAGCATCCCTGACAAAGATATGTCACACCAAATATATCTCCTTTATATTTGCAATTGACCGTCATTCCTTCTCCCGCATCCTGTTAATTTACCCCAGACTACAGCTTTATTTGAACAAAGACTGCGGAAGTATTTTTGTCGTTGAATGTTTCCAGAGCTGTTGCCATCAGTCATTTATTTTGGTTTTAACTCTAAGAGCTCACTTTGCCCAAAGGATTAACTGCACACCGCCTGAGGGGGTCCCATCATTTAACAAGAGCTCCGATTTAGTGCTAAACGAGTTCAGTGACCGAGACCTAAGATCTAATGGTTGGGATACTGTTACCACAGATCTTGGAGGTCACGTGTCTACTGTGCAGCGGCTGTGGGATCTGGAAGAGGGTAGAAAGGGCAGGCACGAGGTGCGGTGGCATGAGATTGGCCTTGATGACATCTTGAGCTAGATAGGGTGATATACTAATAGGACAAAACATGCGGTGCATCTGTAATTACAAAATTGTGTTCTATTTTTGAGTCATGAATAAAAGAATTAATATACAGCGCAGCTTCTGTTGTTTGAAATCTTCTTATACATGCATTATACTGTACGTGGGGTCCACAATTCTTCCTATTATCCATGCATTTTGAAGAATTCATGGTAAACTTAAAGCGTAAAAAAATATTGCAACTACATTTTCACATCCATGACCACGTAATCCAACATGAACACAGATAAGAGGAATTATACTATATCACAGTGCAACAAATCATGAAAAAATATATATACAGGGCCTGTAGATTGAATGTGCATACAATTACAAAACTGCATGATGGTGTTGCGTCAATATTAAACACACATTTCAAAATGCCCTCTTGGAGTTGGAGGATTACTATGCCACTTGCATACCTTTATAATTTTCTGTAGAAGAGCACACAAAATCGTCTATTTCATTGGGACTTTAACATATTCAGACGATTGTTATATTTCACTGCAGAGAAGCAGAAAGACACTCACGGAAGAAAATGTATTATATCGTGGCACAATTCTAAATAAACCACGTCCAAAATGGAATCCTCCACAGCCTACGGTCTTAGATAAGACGAACTGCACATGTGTGTATCGGTGGGAAGTGGAGCAATGTATTACATTGTAGAGAGTACTTCGTGTTCTACCCATCTTCTGAACTAGCTCATCAGATGAAATATTCCTGAAGCAGTGTAGCGTGGGGATATTAATAAGTAGTGCTTCTGTGAGGCAGCTTAAGAGGTGAACATACAATTACTATGTAAATATACTCCACTACACATAAGCATGTGCATATAAAATACTCGCTCATCCATTTTTAAATAGGACCAAATTGTTACACCAAGCATAAGTCATTTTAAATAAAGATAGTGGATGAAAGAGGCTTAGTAGACAATTTGTATATGAATGGAAAACATGAAGATTTTCTACTGAATAGGATAACCTCATGCATTAAAAATACATTAAAAAAAAATCTCGCCACATTTGTCATCAAT